TCTAAGCATGCTTTGTTATCAGTGGACCTGTTAAGAATTCACACTTATAATCACAATTTTAGCAAGCTATTACTGATATTTATTAATGACTAATTTTGATTTCTTTTTTATCAAAACTTCACTCTGTGTAATGGCACCCCAAGTCTAATGAATGTTTCCAAATGGTATGTCTTGGTGGCTGTTTTCTTGAGTTAAAGTTAAGTTTAGCAAAGTCCAGTGGATTTTGGATTGCCTTTTTACATAGCATTTTGTTATGTTAGATTAGGGAATTGACGGTCATGGTTAGACAATGCTAAGCCAAGATTGTTGAGAACCCTGACGGGTATACGAGCAGTTTTGTATCCCCACCAGTGGAAACGATTGAATTAGCAAAGCAAAAGCTTGTTATATCTGAACCTGTACAGTGGTTTATTAACCCCTTAACAAATCAAGAGTGAGAATTCAACTTCAGGTCATGGCTTTCTGTTTTGATTTGCTAGAGGAGTGATCAACCCTACATAATGAGAAACTTTTGTTTCATTCCTGTGTAGTTTAGCTGAGGTGTGGGTGATTCACAGGCCACATGTAATTCCCAGTTAGGTTTGTGCTATATTCTACAGTGGTGGCAGATTTTTTTAACATTATGGAGGGCTAAAAGTGTCAAACTGAAATTGCAAATAAGCAAAATGTAACCCTCTTAGTAGTATGACCTGACATTACAGTGTGGCTTGCTGCCAGGTTCTGGTGACAAATCAGCAATTTTTTCTTGGGAAACTGCAGGCGCCTAATGGAGTGCAGCCTATGGGGCAGAAGGGCTTTAAGGTGAAAATGTTTTCTGGACCTTCCAACAGTTGTCTTTCCTTGTGTATTTGCTCCCACTGATTGGAGGATTCAAGTGGGGACAATTGATCAGCTTATATGTGTATGTCACTCCTAAACAATAAGTCAGAATCCTTTGCAGTTCTGACATATTACATCCCAGCTCAGCCAGCCTGTTGCTAAATACTAAGTTGTTTCCCATCACTTTCTCTTCTGCCTCTTGGCTCCTGTGCAGCTGAAAGAAGAAATTGCCTGTGGTTGTTTGGAAACTATACAAGCAACCACTTAATGTTCTTCATAACTATACAAGCATCTTCATAATGTTCTTCCAGCAATAGGTGATGGTTCCATGGTTTCCTGGCAACTGCATGTGTATTACCCTCTACTGTATTTCCAGCATAATGCTTACTAAAAGCTGGTCAGAACCTGTTGCCATCATTCATTGACTTAAAGCCGGGAGTGTTGAAACTCTTGCAGCCTAAGGCCTGAATTCCATGTTTGAGAAGCTCTTGGGGACTGTATTCCAGTGGTGGGCCAACAACAAAGGAAATTGAACCAATCGTAACTCTGCATTATAACTTAAAGCATTTATCTTTCGTACTTCAGCGTTGAGACAGGCATTTCAACCTTTTAGAATGTGGAACATATTACACAAATACCCGGAAACCACTGAATGATCAGTGACTGATGGAAACAGGGTGTGTCCAGTAGAAGTGGGTTTGGCCATCTGCAGATATGCTGGACTTGGTCTCTTGGCTTAAAGTTCTGCATCCTGCTTTAAAGTGGCAACAAAGGCTGGAAAAAACACTGCTGAATTTGGCATAGTTACTACTGATTTTCCTAATATTTAAGGTAATATATGAAAAAAATGAAGCTACTGATTGCCATGTTTGTTCTCTCGTATGTTATAACTTTTAGCTGTCAGGATGCTGGGGAATGAAAATAGGAGAGAATAATTGCTCCCATGTCAAGTTTGTGGGCTTACCAAAAGCATTTGGTAGACCACTGTGGAAATGGGGTGCTGGAGTACACAGGCCTTTGATTTGCACCAGCAAGGCTCTTCTTACGTTGGCTACTTGTTTGATATAGAAATAATAAATGCTATTTTTTTAAAAAGATAAATTACTTTTCTCTAAAAAACCAAAAATATGAAACACTGAGAGATGCTATGAATTCTTTTTTCTAAGTGGAAACTGGGTAAAATACACATGCTGGTTGCATTAGCCAGGTGATTGTAAGTGAGGAATAACACATAGACCTATTAGTCATAATGGAAGAGAGGCACAGTGTGCAGTCTTGCCTATAATACTCTAGTATTGATTTTATATAGTGTCCTTTTAAATATTAACTGCATTGTAAAGTTACAAGTCAGTCTCTTGCTGCAGCAATGTAACCATTTTGTTTACTGGAGAAACTTTCATGCAATTATCAGCTGCTTCTTGCCAGCTGCTAGGTGTAAGTTGTTAAATCTCTTAGAGTAAAAAATGCTGAACTATATCTGGGACTTTCTTTGTTAGCTGCTTTAGAAGTCCTGTCAAAAGGTGGTATTTACATCTTTAATAAATATGCATTTTTAATATTCTGTTCTTCCAACAAACTCAAAACAGCTTTCAGATGGTTCCTGGGAGGATTCCCATTCATGTATAACTCAGGACTAGAGTGGGGTGGAGTTTGGAGAACAGCATGGCTCAGTGGTAGAACACATACCTTGCAGGCAGAAGGTTTCAGGTTCAATTCCCAGCGTTTCCTGACTGGGCTAGGAAAGAAACCTTGATATTCTGGAGATTTGGTGCTGCCTCTCAATGTTATCAGGCCTGGCTGGATGGACTAAGAGTCTGTCTTGGTATAAGACAGCTTCCTGTGCTTCAGACACTCATAGTTTTAGCTGCTTAATCTTATGTGCTGCAGGAAAGCCATTGTAGTGTAGTGGTTAATGTGTTGAACTGAGACTCAGTAAATTTGGGTTCTGGTCCGCATTTAGTCATAAGCTTACTGGGTGTTTTGAGTCAATTACTGACTCATAGCCTAATCTATGTCACAGGGTTGTTTTGAGGATAGAATGGAGAACATGAGAACCTTGTAGGCTGCCTTGGGCTCCTTGCAAGAGGAAAATGATGGATTAGGGAAATGAAATAAATAACATAACCCAACACTGGATATAGTTGAACCTGGCAAGCAAACACAAGTAATTTTTTCTGGGGGGGGGGTTAGTTATCCATCACATTTTCTTCCTGCTCTTCCTCCAAGGAGCCCAAGAAATAGAAGGGGTTACTGCTGTAGCAACCATGGCTTTACGGCTGTTAAATGAGGCTAAGTGAGATTGAATATAGATGCAATCATATTTAGAGTGGATCCACCGAAGTCATTGGAGAAGGTCAATGTTTAGTTAGTTATGACTGAAAGTTCCATTGGTGTCTGTCCTAAGCATGACCAAGTCTGGATCCAACTCAGTGATTTGCCCTTTGAACTTTTGGAGAACTTCATTATCAAGAGGAGATTTTTGGACTGATAGCTCCAAGTCCAGATTGGTTAACTTTTTTTTTTTTTTACAATTGTCAAGCAGGAATGAGTAATTTCAGAAGGTCCAGGGAACAGTTTCCTAGCCCTGGAACCCCCTGTGGGCTACATATGCTTGCCACTGAAATTGCAGCTGACACAAAATCTCAGGATTTTTATTTTTAAAATAAAGTGGGGGAAGTACATACTTGGCTTTAAAGTAAATATACAGCTACTTTGATAGTGCTATCCCTCCAAAATTTGGTAATGATTGGGGAGAGGGAGGGACAGAAATGAGATCACTTACATGTATTTGTTGCCGCTCCCTGGTATAGAATTTATTCAAGTTTCTACTTTTGAATGCTTGAGGGCCTTATTTTGTTAAGTATGGGGTGCATGTTTAGATATTGAGATAGTTTGATTTTGTGTAATAGCTACTTACTCCAGCAATGATAGCATTTAGGAGAATGTAGCAGGGGCAGGGGATGATAGTATTTCAATGAGAATTATTATTGAGTAGACTGACTTAGGATTGTGTTCTGATAGTAATCCTTTGTATCTTTACTTTCAAGTGTTCTGCTAAGTCTAGTAGGGCTTGCTCAGGAGCAGGATTGTAGCCTAAAACAGGTGTAAGTCTTAAGTTTTACCAGATGCATTCTCTAGAGGTGCTAAATATTTAAGGCCTAACTTCAATATGCTACTTTTGCATCAGAAGTATTTGATTCATGGATGATACCTTGTGTTTGGCATGACAGTCAAGAAGTTATTCAGTGTTCTTTCTGTGAATATTCTTACTTTGGTTATCTTCTTAGGTGTCTCAGAGAGATTATATCACTTCAGAGAGCGAGGATATTGCTGTTCATGTCCTATTGTAACATGGGTATGGATATGATTGAAAAGGCTCTAAGGAGTAGCATTTGTATCCACTAAAGTTTTATATTCATAAATAGGAAAGGAGGAAGGAAAAATAGAAATTTCTGTTAAGTTCTGTAAAATGAAACTTATGCAAAACCGTTGAGTAAAAAGCCCCTTTTTCTGAATGATAACCTTGTGTAACAAGTTTTGTTACTTAATCTAGAGCTGTTGGACATTGTAGGAGTTTGCTTTGTTCTTGTTCTATTTGTTGCTCAACTATACTTGGGCAACAAAACAGTAAAAGTAAGTGATAAAATAATTGGCTTTCAGATGTGGGCAGAATCCTCATGTATGGAAATTTAGCCTTACCAGCAGAAGGAAGTTCGTTCACAGCACTTGGTTCCTTCAAGTTGTGGTTTGAATTTAGTTTCTGAAGATAATTTGTCTTTAGAAATGTAGTTGGTCTATACACTGCTTTGATTCAAGCCTTTAAAATAGCATAATTGTTGCAGTGTTATACCTGTTACAACTTTGGCAAAGAAAACACTGATTAAGGAAGCAGGATCTCTACAACAGCTTTTCAGTAAAAAAAGATAACCAGCTATAGAAATATTTGTGGTTTCTCTTTTTGCTTTGCACTCTTGGAAGCTTGTGCAATGAATTTATATGTTTTAAAATTAATGTACTTATCCCAGAAAAATGCACAACCCCCAAGGCTATGTTGACCTTGTTGCCAAATGCACTGTTAGTCGATGGAATTTAAATGTCATTATGTTATTTACCCTTAAAACACATGATAGGGATTGAGGTGTTAAAGGTCATGGTCATGGACTTTCCACTAGTGGGGGAAAGAATAGGAGTGTTTGTGTGAGATGATCAACTACCATTGCAGGAGTTAAATGTTTCCACTTCTAGTGGTCTTTGTGTGTTCTCTCCCTTCCCTAAAACACCTGGATTTTCATTGAGAATATGTTGCCCAACATACTTGTTGAAACTGCTGCAAACAAATATGTCAAGCCATACTGAGATCTTCATCCTCTGTGCACCCTCCCTGCTTTTTCCCTTCTAATAAATTTGGTTCTTGGGTAAGCTTTGATGTTCATGGAATTATAAAGTACAAAAGTAGGAGAGAAAAAAATATGGCACCTTTCTGGAAGCTGAACAAAGGAGTGATAAGAACAATGAATTTACAAAATTGCTGGTTTCAGGAGGGCATTTTTTGGAAATTTCATTGTAAAGTTTTGAAGCTTGTGCATGTGTGATCTTCCCTCTGTCTTTTTGTGTGAAAGTAAAGTTTTTCTAGTAATACTTGAGCAATGCATGTTTGTGGAATGGTGGAAGTGTTAAAATGGATTGGGGGGGTTGTAATCTCCAGGAAATTATATGAATAAACACCCTCTTAACTACAAGGCTGCTCTTTTGGCTATAAAATAAACACTGTTGGAACCTCTCACCTGCATGAAGAAGGCAATCTTGTTGTCATTCTGTGATTAAATAACAGCTCTTGGCAGGCTTGCTATCCAGTTACAATTTCTCTCGGTAAATCACTTCTACCCTATTTCTCAGGGTGGAACTAAATCGGGTTGCCAGAGTTGCTCAGCGCAAGAGCCACGTATGGTAAATTTCAGAAGCCTGAGAGCCACAAGTGGGTGGCAGCAGGAGGCAGGTGGGTGGTGGCAGGTGGCAAGTGGGCCCCATGGGTGGTGAGCCACAAGCCACAAAATAAATTCAAGGAGCTGCGTGTGGCTCCTGAGCCTTGGTTTGATCACCCCTGAACTAGATGAATTCTGCCAAATAGCAACCGTTCATTCTGTACCTCTTTCTATCTCCAAATAGAGCTTTATTCTTTTGGAATAATCCACTGTAACAATTGTCACTATTTCCACTGTAATTTAAATCTCAGCTCTTTGAACTTGAACAGTGATGAAGCCATTTTATATTTCAGGAGAAATTATGCAGGTAGCTGTTTAATATACAAAACTGCTGTATACTACTGTTTAGATGTATTGTGATCTTAGTAAAGGGGAGAATTGTTTTTGTGGCTAGCCAGACTGCTTCATTATGTCCTATTTTTTCTGTTCTGTGGACAGGGTATGATATTAAAGCCACTCCTTGATGCCAGAGAGACTCCAGAAGGCTAGACTCTGGAAATTCAACTTCCTTATTCTCTGGCCAGTGCTTCTTTGTGGCAACATGGTCAGTGTTTCTTCGGTATCATAATGGTGTCTTAATAAAGAGTTTTTTATTTCTGAGTTTTCTGCAGGATACAAATCCTTATTTCAGAGAGCAGGCTTTAATTTTGCCCTCCCACCCAGTATTAGAGGATCAAAAGGCATTGTAGCAGAGTGGGAAAAACTTCCTTTTCCTAGGAGCCAGAATTTAATGACATGCAGCAGCAAAATGTTACATAGCAGAAAAATTGATACCTGTGACCATACTATAGTATTTTTAGGCTGCTAATTTGGGTGTCTGTGGATTATGGAATGATTTAGATTAAAAAAAAACTAAAGAAGATGCCCTACTGAAAAACCACAGAAGGATTTTTTTTTTTTACTTCACACAAAATGTTCAGTCTGGCTGTTGAGCTCACTGGGTTGCTTTGCATGGCCAAAATATGCCACTTTGTTTGTTTGTTTGTTTCATTTGTATGCATCACCCCGTAGTCATGAGGTAGCTTACATTACTGTGCATTACATTAAAAAATCAATAGAAACAATGAATAATAAAACAATAAAAGTTAAACAATAGCAATGATAAAAATTAATATCCACATAATAATAAAATCACATTAAACTAACCAGTTTAAAACAATCCTATGTGTAAAAGTGTTTTGCAACAAAAATTCCCTTTTCTTTTAACATGGCAGTAGCATCAATGAAGCCTGTAAAATAATCATAATAAAACCAACTCTGCTTATTCACCAAAATAATTATGGAAAAGGAAAATGTTTGCAGTAGACATCTAAATGTAAAGGGGGAAGATGCCTGGCAAATATAGGCTGTTGTAGTGTTATTGGAGGGTCATTTCTCCCTCCAGCAAGTGATGCAGCCTGGGTTTAGGTGCCACAATAAGCTGTGCTTGCATGGCAATTATAGAAATTGTTCCAGGCATGTGCTGTGATTTGAATAAGCTGTAGTGGCTTCTTTTGATTGTGCACACCAGGTCACTGATAGAGACCTATTAAACAGGTGTCACTGTACAGCATGCTAAATTGTGTGTCCTTAATGTTTTCTGGGCATTGCTGTTTGTGATGAGATACTGCTAATTTACTAGTATGTATCCACAAGATGAAATGACTTCATTGGGAGACTGAGTGGTTGGTTCTTCCAGTCACAGCCTGACAGTGTGTAGTGGGTGTGATTAAATTCTCTGTAAGCACAGTTGTGTTCATGGGGTGCTCCACTGGAGGAAGGTGATTTTGCCAATTCCCCCCGGAGCCTCCCGTGTTTGCCTCCAGAAAGCGCTGCGCTCCCCCCCCCCCCCGAATTTGGAAGACCTTGTAGAACAATATGTGAGGGTGGTGCTGAAGGTTTTTTGAAGGAAACTTGCAAAAATGTTCTTCAGTGGGGAGCCTCTGCTGGATCTTGGTCTCTTCTGTGACCAAAAGGAGAAGTCCAGTCAAGTGCATGAAAGTTCAACTTTATTTTGTTCTTCAAAGATGGCAGTTGTGCAGAGCAAGCTTCCAGATGCTCTCCTAAACTTTGCTTAGTTATTGCTTTTTGAGTGAGAGGATCCATTAGTTAAATATTTCTCATCCTGTATAATATAGATCAGGTTGCCTAAAATGTTGTCAGAGGAAGGTTTTTTAAAAGGCATCTCTGCATATTAAGTTTGTTACAAATGCTGAGTAGATTGTTGTTTCTGAGATAAAAAAACATAATTTAAAATTAGAATTCTACATATGAGAATGTTCAGTTTCTGCTGTGAACCTAAGGTGTACTCTCTGCAGTAAGCCCCTACAGAGATTCTGTTTGGTTCAGGTGTTTTGCATGGTGAGCTAACAGATCTTCAGAAAAGCCTGGATTTATATATCCCTATTTCACATGCCTCAGAGAGTCAGTCTTCCTTACTACAAACTGCAGAGTAGATGGCTGTGGACAATCAACATGCAATTTTGCAAGAAGGTGGGAGATACAATTTTTTCCTGCCACAATTACTAAGGAATTGGAGAGGGTAGAGAGGAAAAAAGGATGACTTCTGCATTGTTTTGCTATTTATGCATTATGTTTATATCCCACCTTTTTTCCTGCTGAAAACCCAAAATGGTTTAGATAACCCCCTCCCTTTCCATTTTATCTTCATAATACCCCTGTGAGATAGCTTAGGCTGATGGTTAGTGACTGGCCCAAAGTTACCCAATGGGCTTTATAGTTGAATGGGGGCAGAAACTTAGATCTCCCAAGTCCCAGTCCAACAGTGTAACCACTCCAAGGTACCCACACTGTATGTACACTCACCACAGCACCTTAGTCATTGTGAAAGAAGCATGTCTCATCCATTGCCACCCCCAGTATGGGGATACTAGTATTCCCTGAAGTTTGTAGTAAGGATATTGGAGTGTAAACAACCCACTGTCTGAACAGGTAATAGTCTCCAAATCTCAATGGAAGAAATATCCCTAACTTTTTTTCTGAATGCTTAGTTGCTTGCTAATTCAGCTGTTCTGTTTCCTCAGCAGGTAACATCGAAAGGTGCCACCTTAAATCCTAATGCAAAAGTATGGCAGGAAAGCATGCAGGGAAACTCAGAAGCTGCACCAGCAACTAATGGCAGTGAGCAATTGTGGCAAGAGACAGCAGCTGTGCCGGGAAATTGTACAGAGGGTAAGACTTGTAAATACTAACAATGCTTGTAAATACTAACAATGGCTTAATCTCTTGTTTAGTTAGGGTTGTGTATATAGTGCATGTGTTCAAATCCAGCAGTGAGCAGCAAGCAGTGCTCCTGTCCTTGAAAGTACAGCTGCAGCTTCTAAATGCTGGGGTGTTTTGTAACATTAGCCCAGCATCCAATAAAGAGACTCAATTATATGTAATCAGTACTTGTATTGTAATAGTATAAAATACACAAAAACCCAGTAACTGAAATACTGTAAACCACCAATCATGGATTACTGGTAAAAAGTAAGCTTGAATGATAAGTCTTTATCAAGTTCATAGAAATGATTGATAGCTTTCAATTCTTCAGGAAAGAGGGGTTTTTTTGCTGAGATTCCAGCTTGAATCATTAGTGAGTACTAGCCTGCCCAACCCAATTTGACTTATTTTAGTCATTCATTCATTCATTCATTCATTACATTTCTATAATGTTCAATAGTCGAAGTTTTCTGAGTGCTTTACAGAGACTGAAAACCTTGAAAAGATAGCATTGTACTTAATATTAAAAGGTGTACGTACAAACTTCTAAACAGACAGCCCTGGTGCATATACACGTTGTTGAAGTCTTGTGTATGCATTCAGTTCCTTATGCTAGTATGTTATAAGTGCTGACTCCATAGTATTGGGTCTCTGTATTGGTTATGTAGATTATTGTGATTTAAGAGTATTAAGCAGCTCCAGGAAGGGTAGTTGCTTTATTTAAAATAGAAAGGGATCCTGCAAGAATGTAGATTATGACAAGTATCTTGAGGAACTTCAGCTTATTACTGATCTTAATTAAAAAGGCCCAGTGATGACCAAGTATCGCGCTAAGAGGGAAGCAAGTTGCTAAATGTACAGAAATTACACTTTTGTTCACTCTACCTTTTTTCTTGCTTTTTCTTTTCTTTTCCTACTGTTGTCTTGAGCTTTTTCCTTGTAATTTATGTACTTTAGCGAACACTTGACCCTATGAACAAAAAGATTATGAGATCTGAGGGCCATTTTCAACTCAGTAAATCGAGTTGTTCCTGACATGATAAACTTGGCAGACTGCACATTGGCGAATCCTGCTGACACAATGGCAGAGGAGAGTTGCAAAAATGTGTTCCTATTGCTGATGGAATTCAGGGTTGCAAATTAGTTAAAATGGTTGCTTTGTGAGTAAGCTGCACTGTATTTGCTGTGTAGTAGCTGCTGATTATATTAAGCTAAAGAAGTTAGTGATATTAAAACTGATGTGACATAGAGATTAATGTTTGTTTTCTTGTGTAAGTGACAATTTCTAAACCTCTGATACTTGCCTCCCACTTTAACAGCAGTCAAAGGGATTGGAGCCAGTTTTGGTATTTGGTGAATAGAAGGGCTCCTTTCTTTCTTGGGTGGTGTTTAATCTAGTGGACAAGTCTTGCTAATAGAAAGGGGGGCATAACTTTTGCCCGTTCCATCTTTTCTTGCAGTGCTTTGAACCCCCTGAAAATCTATTCACAAAATTCTACTTTCTCCTCTTTCTGCTGGTGGGAAAAAAGTTTCAATTGAATCTGTAGGCTATGCTGTTGAAGGCTCATCTGGGTTCTTGCATAACCAAATGTGATTCCAGACTTCAAGCTGTTTTCCAGCCTGGTTAACCATGAGTTCTGCTTAGCTTTATACTTGGTTTAGTTGGGGTTTATGTAAGTTGGGATTTATGCTTGCTGTATGTTGGGGCATATGCTAGAAAAATGAATGTGGAAGCAGTTGTCTTCAAACCATATTCCCATTTTACAAAAAGTTTAGAGTAAGTTAATTTAATATGAATAAACTTGTACTTTAAGCAGCAGATCTCATTTTCCTAAGTCTGCCATAACACTGGGCCAGGGTCTGAAATAATCCTTTCTAAATAATTCAGGTTTTGGAAATTGCTGTTTTGGAAAGTTCTAAAAAGCGAATGTGACTTTTCAGTTCTGTGGAGTGGGTGGGTGGGTGGGTGGGTGTTTGCATGGAGGAAGGAGAGAGATTCCTGTTCTTCCAACAGAAGCCTTGCTTTTGTAGAGCTACACTGGTTGGATTTCATCTTTAAAAAACTTTATAAAGGTAAAGCAATTTCAAAATTCCTATTAAAAGAAATTATTTTATCCATTCTGGAATATAAGCTATTTATGGAGAGAGAGTCTTTGCTGGAAGAGAGAAATAAAGGTGCTGTTAACCCGGATTTTCTTTGATCCTTTTATTGGTTGCCAATATAGAACATATGTTAATGAGCAGCTGTTCTATATTTCACTTACATGTTATTTAGCATGGTTTCAAGCAGTTGAGCTCTACTAAATGAAACTAGAGAAACAGTTCAGACAGTCTAGAGAAGAAAGGAAAAATATGACAGTTCATGGAGTTCTTGCAACCTTCAGCAGTGGCTATAATTGTTTCTATATTGTCAAAACGTACATTTGTCTGAGTTCCTCTTCCAAATGTTTGCATTCTTCAGTTGAAGAATCCAACAAAACAACATTTGTTATGATATGTTACAGTTAAGAGAGGCAACAGGCATGCAAACCCCAAGGTTGTTTTGAAAGAAGCCTTTTGCTTTTTTCTCTCCTGCCTCCTTTTTTTTTAATGAATTGCTGCTGTTCATACAGCATTGCTCCTTGAAATCCGCAGATTTCTAAATCTGTTAGAAACAGTTTGTACATTCAGTATGAAGGGCATTTAAAGGAAAGTGCTGCTGATTCTTTTGTATTAATTTCATCTATGTTGTCTTATAAAATAAGTTTTCTAATAAACCTGCTTTTTGCACTCTAGCAAACTGAAACAGTAGTTGTACAGTTGCTGAAAGGAAACTTTTTTCCTTTAAGAATCTATGTATTTATGGATTCTGCACAAACACCATTCTGCAGTGAGATCTTAGTGTTTCCCCCAGTGTGTTGTTCATTTGCTGTGAACTTTGCTGCCAAATGAAGAAACCAAAGACCAATCTTTCTTGAATTGCATTAGTAGAGTACTAAATAGCTCTTGGACAACTTTTTTTCCATTATTCTGATAGCCAAGGCAAAATGTGGTAGCCAGTATACATGCTTGAAACTGTGTTTGTGGATTTGGGTTTGCATTCTCTTGTTTGTGTTTTTTTTTTTATGGAACATACAAGCTCTCTCATCCATTAAATATATGAGTGGCCAGACGTGCTCAACAGAAGAGCCACATTCGGTAAATGTCAGATGCTTGAGAGCTGCAAGTGAGTGCCTGTGGGTGGTGGTCACAAGCGGCAGGCAGGTGCCCATGGGCACCCACAGCAGTAAGCAACAATCCTCAAAATAAACTCAAAGAGCCACATGTGGCTCCTGAGCCTCAGTTTGGCCACCCCGATTAAATATATACCTTGTTATATATGTGATGTTGCTTTACTAGGATCAGGCTTTCTCAAGTTGGTAATAAGGTTAAAGAACATGGAAAGTTGTAGACAAATGTTTTTGGTCATTAGGCTAAACACCAACTCTTTCTATACTCTGTACTCAAAATGATAATAACACTGGCCAGCACAGATTTTGGTGCCTTGATTGGTAGATCTGTTTCTGTGTATATTTGACCCACTGATTCCAAAAATGACATCATTTTTCCCTATCAGTTCTTGGTTTTGAGATACAGCATAGATTCCATATACCTCTCTTCACTCTGGTCATCCATCAGAAATCAGGATATTTTAATGTAGTGTTTTATTTTATCTTCTTACAGCATGAAAGAAACATATTACAAATTAAAAGAAAAGTAAAATACACAAAGTCTACCTATTTCAAACCAAAAGCACAGGTTTATGTAACAAATATTTCAGTCATGCAACACAGAAGAAGCCTGTTTTGTAAGATTTCTGAGGGTGGGATCTGCCAGGACAATCCCACATAAGGTTCCAATATTAATCTGCCTTCATGTGTGCATCTTCCTTGGTATCTGTCTTCCATTGTTTTTATTTCTTGGTGAAATCTTTTACCTAGCTATTCGCTTAAGTCACCAAGGTTCTCTGGAAGATGATCTAAGTGACTGTACAGATAATGGATTTTAACATTTTATAGCCAAGCCTGTTGAAATGAAAGAACATCTCCTGTACTAATTGAGTGTCTGCAAAAATGAAGCGATATGAGTGGGAATATACACACGCCTCCTGTATGACCATAACTATAACATAGTTAATGAATTACCCTTTAGAATCCAGTGGTTCTGATGTAAAATTACAGTTGGAAGTATGTGAACACTCACTATGTCCATCAACATGTATGCAAAAACATAAACAGAAGAACAAGTTGATAAGCAAGATCTTTTCAAAAACTGCCTATATTTATATGACTATGACCATATCTAAGAAGCTAGAGCCAATGCAGTCTAGCAAATGCATTTTCTGAATCAGCACCCCAAATAACCCCAAGAACAGGTTTACACAGTCCAACAACCCCACAGCCTTTTTAATCTTTCACACCTGATCAAATACTGGTGTTCACATGCATGTGCACACACATACACGGAGTTCTTGTCAGACTATGATTTTAAAGTTTAATGTCGAAGTAGGGTTTGAGAGATTTTGTCTCATGTTAGTCCCACTGTGTTTGAGCCAGACATGTTACAAGTATTTAATAAAAATATAATTGGCAAGGGTCACCCTTGCAAGAGGGTAAAATATAGGTTACTTTCAGTTAGTGAGCACTTCATAATATGCTGGCTGAATGCAGTGATGGCACAGTCAGTTACCACCAGGCAAAAGTCATAGTTGAATCATTTGTTCTTTTGGGGAAAAATTAATTGTCTCTTCTCTGGATATATGTTTTTTGTGTGGAAATCAAAGCACATGTCTCCAAAAAATCAAGATATTTGTGCAGTTACTATTTCTAGTAAACAGCCCACCTGTCTTAATTGAGTAGAACTGAGAGCATAGTTTTACACATATTTTGTCCTTTCCCCAAAGCACATTTAGTATTAAAAACTGTGTTTATTTTATGTTAGCAGTTAACAGTAATCGCTAAGAAATCAACATACTTTCTGAACTGAGGGTTCTATCAATTATTTAGTGACAACATATTTTGTAACCTCAATAGTAGTGCACAGATGTCCCTTATAGAAAGGGAAATTGTGTTATTTTTTGAATATTTTGCTTTGAATCCACTGTGGGGATAATAATAAAAATGTGTGGATACAATGTCTACTGTAATCTCAAATTAAGCTGGCTGACTGGGGATGTGAACAAAGTATAGAGGGGACAAATGATATATAAAGATTCCGGTCACACCTAGTTGTGTATTTTTTCAAAGGAAGCTTAGTCACGAGACATTGATTATACGAATGGAAGGAAATGCATTTTCAGTGCTTCCATCGTGACTTTGTTTTCCATTCGTTGCTTTTCTACTCTGCCAGGTAATGCCGAAGTTGTGGATGATGGTGCTAAGCAGTATGAAGCAATGTATTCATCTTGCGAGCTGTCAAGAAACAGTTCAGGTGTTGATGAATCAGCTGCTAATGGCATGGTCCTGGCACATGAGGAGCTTGGATACCAACTCTATGATGTTTCTGGTAAGCATTTCACCTACAATGTGGGATTCTTGCTACTGAAACTATTTGTGCTAAATATTCAGGTGGTGTCTGTTATTCTCTAGCTCTGCAGCATCTACATTTGGCGTTTTACATGCTCTGTGTGTGTGTGAGGTGGGGGAGGGTGGAGATCATCCACATTTTAATCATGTATACTACATGGATTATTATCAGAATTTCCCAGGGTTAGAATAGTGGCAAAATATTATCTTTTTCTGTATAGTACATACACATGCTTGCCTTTAAAAATGTACAGTAGTATTCCTGTCTCTTGAGTCTGCAATTCTCAGGATGTGGATGGCTTTGAAAACTAATTTTCAGGAGAGTTGTAAAAGAGCAGCTTGGAGGACACAGGGGCACATTTTGGTAGTGTGATCAAAGGACTTCTGTCTGTGGGATTTAGGAAGAGGTTCAGGGAAGCGGGAAGGTAAGCCAGAGTTACTTTAGGTTTCAGTGCAGAATGGGCATCCAGCACTGTATGTCCTTAAGACATTTTGTACATCTTAATTAGTAATGTGCTAGAAACGCTTGTTACAGTATGGCTTCACTTGTTAAACAAGGTCTTAATCTGTCCCTGTTCCAACTCCATTCTATTAAATGCCTCCTAAAAGCATGCTACTTGAAAGGCTTTCCACGGCTCCTGTAGCCTGTCCCTCTTATATACTATCTGGGCAGCAGTTCACCCTTTTAATTTCTACCACTCCTTTGGTTGATAGTATGAGCTATTGAGCTGCACATCTGAGATCAGATGTCAGTGTTCTGATGACCATAGACAATTGCTAGCTCTTGTCCCATCTTTAAATATAAGATAAGAATAGTGGCAGTTTCTCAGTTATGCTTATGTTAATATGAAATGAAAAAAAATAATGTTATGCTTTTTTGCAGATAGCAAGTAATAATTGCTTCTCTACTGAACAGTGTTGTTTTCTTGTAATGACAGCCCAGTGTTGATGAGCTCCTGGTCCCCTACATGTTTCTGTTTTACATCTATTTTCTGAAACAACCCAGGAATAGTTAGTTGTGAAACGTCAACCCATCACAAATGATGTCCCACAAATGATGTAGACAGCTATTGTAAAGCAGATAGACCAGTGAACGCCTATTTTTGGCTTGTAGATTTCAAGACTGGCTTTGTAAGGCCATTAGAAGTATGGGAGCATGAAATCTTTTTCCTTGTCAGAGACCATATTCATGCAGTTTTGGAATGTGCAGGTGTGAGCAATCCTGCTGGCTTGAAGCTGCTTTCTGGGTTGAGCTCCATCATATATAAACATGGAACTCTGAATTACTGAGGGAGAATAATCCCCAGGATTAGAACTGAAGTACAGTCCAAGCTGTTCATATGGTATGGCAGCCCAGCACAGTGAGGCTGTAGGGTGTGTGTTGATGCTATTTTGAATATGCATCCTTGGCTTGGGGTTGTTATACCCTGAAAACAGGATTATACCCTCATATAGCACACATGCTGGTTGGCATTGTTTGACATGACAACCCTCAAGCAATGGTTGCATATTCAAAGTGGCACCTAAAGAATCGTTACTACAGAAGCATTGCAATTTATTGTGGGTTAAATAAATAATCCATAATAATAGAGTGAGCCATGATGCATTGACAAAACCTAGTCCCTGACTTCTAATTATGGACTATTTTACTTTAAGCAGTCTGGAATTCTGGTTAATATGTCATGGAGAACAACTGAGGAACCCTGCGTTGTTTACTGCACTGACAATGTGCAAGCAGTCGTGAGCCAACATGACTGCTTGCTCCCTTGCTCTTCTAAACAACACATGGTTAACAAAGTGTGGGTTTTTAAATTGTGCTAATTAGGTTAGAGTGGAAGGAGTTCTGAGCTGATAGCAATTCTGGTAAAAGCAGTTGAGGGGTTCATATTCAGAACAGAAATACTTAATGTACTTAATAAGTAAGTTTACTAAAAGTTCTCAAAGCAATTTACATCATCATCCTGAGAAAATAAATGTATCACTGAAAAGTGCAAAAACAGAAGCAGTAACACAGATTATGCAATAAGTCTACCAAACAAAACAAAAGCTTGTGAGTGAGAACTGGCTGTTATATTGGATTGGATCCTTGTTTAATATCCTACTGCAGGAAGTGCTCCTTCTGTCCACAGAATGTTTTTGATCTAGCAGAGACTCCTGCTCATGGAAGGAGGCAGTTTTACCCTTCCAGTATACTACTTCCATTCTAGAAGGATTGTAGCAAGAAGGTGAAATTGGTGGACATTGCCTTGTTCTTTTTTTCATACAGGTGGAAATAAAGTTGGAATCCTAAGTCTAGTATTTAAAACTGTGTTGATAATATGCTTTTCATTATTTTCTTAGGTGAAGGCAACCCTGTAATTTCTGCAGAGGACCTGAAAGAATGTTTGAAGAAACAACTAGAGTTCTGTTTCTCACGGTATTACATTCTTCACTCATGTATACTGATAAACAGTTTGGATTAGATACAGGGTTCTGTCATGCATTAAGGGCTTTGAATAAAGAGTTAACTCCCCTCAGCAGATGTTTCTACTCATTCCATAGTTAGCACCATGATACTGTGTTGTAGAAACAGATTAGAATTGTGCTTCCTGAACCAATCAAGCATCTTGGAAAGAAATGGGAAAATTGCACTTTTTATTTATTTAATTTTACATTTATATACTGCCTTATTCCCCTTGCAAGAAACTGATGGTGCATTACATAATCCATTCCATTTTACCCTTACACCAACCCTATGTGGCTGATTAGTCTAAGAGATAAAGACTGGTTTTGCATGACACGATAACTCACAGTAGTTTTTAAGCCATGGTGGGTTAGTGGGTTGTCTGAACCCAGCATTCTTCCTAAGGAAAGAGTTTATAAGTAAGCCATCTCATTCTCCCTCTAGCATCAGCAAGAGCACAGGGGGGAGCTGCCAGGGTTTGCAGCATGCTGAGACCCGGATCAGGGCTTTGGGGGGCGATGCATTACAGAAGAACTGACTAGTTGGTCTTGTTTCCTTGGAGGAGCAGGGCAGACAGGAACTAGCTGCTGTGTTTGCCTTCCTTTGGAAGAAGTAGAGTGGCTGTGGATCCTATCACCCCTTTCCCCTGCTAGACTATGAACCACTCCACACTTGCTTTCGAAGTCCAGTGCTGCATAGCTTTTCCCTGCCCCATGTGCCCTCTTTTCCAAGGAGGAGGTGTGCCAGGCAGGCAGTCCTGGTGCTTGCCCCCTGTTACACTCTCAAGCAGCAGTCAGGACATGGATCACCTTCCCACCCATTCCTGCTGTGCCACCCCAGCCAAGGGGGTGCAGGTCATTTTGCCAACCCTCCTACTGGAGACACCCAGTTGAACATGCCTGATACAACCCCCTGCTGTACCTGATTGTTGGTAAGGCACAGGAATTTTGCCCACAGTTCTGGGTAAAATTCCTAGAAGGAGTAGAGTGTTTTGTGAACCCACCCAGTGATTGTCTGAAAGTCACTCAGTCAGCTTGATGACCTGTGTTGGACTAGAGCCTGCATCTCCCTAGTCCCAGTCTAAGATTCTAACCACTATATATGTAAGAACATTAACTTTAAAAACAGTTGCAAAAGATGCTCCAGAGAAAACAGGCAATTTTTTGTATAAATAACTTCAAATATATTCGTAAAAGGTTTGTGCTACTGCAATTCAAAAGCAAGGTATTTGTCTTTTTAAAAATGGAGGCTAAGTTGCTTATTTATTTACTCCTAGTGAGAATCTATCCAAGGATCTTTACTTGATGTCTCAAATGGACAGTGATCAATTTATTCCAATATGGACAATCGCCAACATGGAAGGAATTAAGAAACTGACAACTAATATGGATCTTATTCTTGAAGTACTGAGATGTATGTCAAAATCTTAATAACTTTGTTGTGTTAAATACATATGGTTTGTTTCAGGGGTGGGCAGGTTTCGGGCTTAGAGCAGCTGCCTTATTTTTGCTAGAACCCAAAGAGCCACAAACTAGAGTCTGGTGCAAAGGAGCCTCACTGAGAGTTAAATAACTAGACAATTTGTTTTAAGTATCAGAACTGAAGAACATGTACTGTCCTTCCTGACAAAAATCCAATCCAAGATAATCCACATCAAAAAATATACCTAGAAATGGGATGAAAGGGTCATTTTGTGACTGTCACAAAGCCTTATTGATCTACCAGAAATCACATGGAGATTTACTAGTCCATCTAGGTTTATATTCTGTTCATGCGGAATGTTCATACACTTTATTTATTTATTTAAAGTTTTTCTATGCCATCCCATTACTAAAAAAGTCTCTGGAAGGCTTACAAAGAACAAAAAACCAAAGAACAAAAACCATAACAACAACGCACAGCACACTGCATCTTAAATGATAAAAACAAGGATAAAACCAATTAATTGTTAAAATACTGGGAAAATAAAAAGGTGTTTGCCTGTCGCCAAAAAGAATAGAGCAGCGGCACCAGGCAAACCTCCCTGGGGAGCATATTCCACAGTTGGGGGGCCACCTCTGAAAAGGCCCTTCTTCAAGTAACTACCCTCTTGATTTCTTTCAAAGAGGGTTCCTGGAGAAGGACCTCTGTCTCTGATCTCAAGGGGCAGGCCAGCACATAGGGAAGAAGGTGTTCCTTTTGGTATCCATATCTAATGTGCCTCTCAGTAAAGGTATTTGAAGACATCTCTTTTGAAAAAGCAGTGTTATTTTGAATTAAATTGTATTAACATACCCATATCTTTAAAAGGGATGCAGGTGGCACAGTGGTTTAAACTGCTGTGCTGCTGGGCTGGTTGATCGAAAGGTCGCCGGTTCGAATCTGCACAACGGGGTGAGTTCCCGTTGCTCAGTCCCAGCTCCTGCCAGCCTTGCAGTTCAAAAGCATGCAAATGCAAGTAGATAAAAAGGTACCACTTCGGTGAGCAGGTAACAGCATTCCCTGTGCACTTCGGTGTTTAGTCATGCTGGCCACATGATGCAGGCAGATACTGTCTGCAGACAAACGCTGGCTTCCTCTGCTAGGAAATGGAGATGAGCACCGCCCCCTAGAGTCAGGCATGACTGAACTTAATGTCAAGGGGAAACCTTTACCTATTTTATCTTTTAAAAACCGAATAGGACAAGACATCCTAATTTTTTAACATCAGCATTTCCCTCCCCGAAGTGAAATTGGTTCTTCTGTCTTATTTGGGGCAACTTAGTAGTCTTCTAAGCAAAGATTTTGCAGTTTTGAAATGAGCTGTACTGGAGGGAAATCCTGACCCATCACACCAAAACTGCACATTTGTTTTAATAATGTAGTATCAGTGTCTGCTTTGGTTTTAGTTGCTACCCATTGAAACAATTGTACCACAAGTGGAAAGTTTAACATGAAAATGAACAGAATTGTGTGCACTGAGTGGTGATCAGAATCAAGCAGCTTAAACATTTCAGAAATTGGGACAAAGGTGGTCATAATGCTTAATGTATGCCATTGTTTGGATCATGCAGTGTTGCATCACTTTCTTGCCTTTAAAAATTAATTTGCTTAGTTTCTTGTTCTGTTTTTAAATTCAGCTTCTCCTATAGTCCAAGTGGATGAACGAGGAGAAAAAGTCAGGCCAAACCACAAGCGATGCATTATTATTCTCCGTGAGATCCCTGAAACAACACCTGTAGAAGTAAGCAACACAATCCAATGTTCATTATGAATGTGACAACTTGCAAAGAATTGTTAGGCCTCAGGAAAATGTCTTAAGATAGCTAAGTGCCTGTTCAGTAATGCTTTATCAAATCAATAAACTTGATCCTATTAAAATCCATTTTGAATCAATTTATAATGTTAATTGAAGCTTTTGAAAAGCTTTCATTTTGTTACTGAGAAAGTATAGCTTTGTGTGTTACGGTTTGTATTTGTTGCAAGACTTCTAATAGAGGTAAATTTGAGTAATACTTGGTAGTAGTCATGAGTTTCCTTTGCATAGCCTACTTGTATAGTGGCCTTTAACAAAGAAGGTTGTATTTATGTTATGTTATTATTGTTTATTGTAAAGTTATATCATATTTCCCCAGCTGTGATATGAAATATTCTTTTAACAAGTTTGCTACATTTTGCAAGAGGACATACTGACTTATGACATCACATGATGGCATTACAAATTAACAAATGGCTAAGTTATGGAATGCGCTCCCCAGAGAGGTCCGCCTGGCGCCGTCGTTATTTGTTTTTCGGCGCCAGGCAAAGACCTTTTTATTTAAGCAACATTTTAAATGCTAATACAACTGAATTTTATCTGGCCAGGGTGGCTTATTTTATAGTGTGTGTTTTAAATTATGATCATTTTATATGGATATTTTAACTTATTGTTTTATCTAGTGTTGTAAGCCGCCCCGAGGCTTCGGCGAATGGGGCGGCATAAAAATGTTTTAATAAATAAAATAAATAAAAAATAAACTTTTTCAAATGTTGAAGTGAAATAATACTTCTTAACTAAGTTGTCATATGTTATCAAGTAAGCAGAATGAGGGTGTATATTCATTGTTCTTGTAGGTAGTAGTATTTCACTTAGTTTAAATATCCCTTCTAGTTGAGTTGTAAAACACTTAAAAATTAAGAAGATAAATGGCAGTAACTAGGGGAACTTGTAACATCTGTTCCACCTCCATTTTGTGTATTGTCAGGCTCCTTTTGTTCTATTATATCTTCATTGATGGAGTCTGGTTTGGTGTGAATGCATTGGTTTTGTGCAGATTTGCATTTCTGAAAATATACAAAGCTCCAAAATGTGCATTTTCACACTTTATTTGAGGAATGCACATTTTCAATTGGTGTTTTATTTTTCATATTTTTCTACAAGTAAATTTGTGTAAAATTCACAGAAAGTTTTTTTTTTAAAAGCCCGCAAATACATGAAATTCATGCAGCATGGAAGAATCTAACCCATTGTGGAATCCAAGGATCAGATTCATTGAAATCCAAAATCATTTGAGTCCATTGCAGATTTCTTTAACATCCGTATTGGTAATTACATACATGTAAACTCAACTCTTTGGCTTTTGCCACAATGGAAATGGGGCCTCTTGGTAGGTAATGTGTCACAGTAAACTAGAATCTCTTTTTAATATGACTTGGATGATTCCTTTTGGTAACATAGTAATTATAGTTTACTGAAACAGTCTTTGCATTTTCGCTCCAGGAAGTAAAGGCACTTTTTCAAAATGAAAACTGCCCCAAAGTGATAAGTTGTGAGTTTGCTCACAATAACAACTGGTACGTTACATTCCAGTCGGATACTGATGCACAGCAGGTAAGAATGCCATACATTCTTCATTTTAGTGAGTGTTCAGTCATATACCAAAGGCTAAGGATAGTGGTCAGTATTTTCAAATCTTTGGCCATTGAAATTATCACAGGAATAAAATCAGATGACATAAATGGAGCTGGATGTTGAGGAGGCACCTTAAAGATTGATCTTATGTGTGTGCATGTTTATACACTCTGTACATGCACACACTAAGCACTGCTTCCTTGCTATATAGTGTAGATTAGTCTAGCAGAAGGGGATACCCCAGCTAATCAGTTCTAGGCATGTAGAAGTATATTTGCTGCTGCTCTCTCCAGACAACAACAAGTCACTCTGTTAAATTCTGGTCATCTGAATCCCTTTGTGGCAAGATCCTATTTTTTTTCTCTTTTTTACACTAATAATCCATAAGAAGAGCCATGCTGGATTCGATCAGTCGTCCATCTAGTCCAGCATTCTCTTCACACATTGGCTAACCAGCTGTCAGCAGGATTTGACAAGCAGGAAATGGGTGCAATGACACCATCTACCCAAGTTTTTTAGCAGCTGGTGTGCATAAACATACTGCCTCTGGTACTGCAATCTTGGGGTGCATATTTTGCTTTTTTTCCTGGGACTTTATCCATTCAGGAAACTGCAAAAGGGCATCTGACTCCCTTTTCTTGGACCAAAAGGGGAGTTTGATGGGCAGTGGTTAGTTTTTGACTGGGATATATGGGTGTATAAATAAGATGAGAATCTGCTCATTGAAAAGGTGCAAACCCTGCTACCTCAGAAGAGCTGATATTCTTTATAATTGTAATGCAGCTTATAATTGTAATGCAGCTTAAGTAAATAGTACCAAAACTATTTAATACCTTTGAATGTGGTTCTGTTAAATGGCAGTGAATGTATTTAAGTGAATGTATTTATGTCTGTACAGGCTTTTAAATACTTACGGGAAGAAGTTAAAACCTTTCAGGGCAAGCCAATAATGGTAAGTTTCAAGTATTACCAAATCTTTAAGTTGCACATTGGGGTTTGATGCAGATTTAGGTCTTCCTGGAGTTGAGCTACTGAAATAATGTGCCTTCAGTTTTTCATGAACAGGTTAAGCTCCATTGATTCCTTGTAGGTTAACTGTAACCAAGACTGAATTCAACTTTGGCATTGTGGTCAGTGCTCAATATTCATACCCATGTAGTATATATGTTCCTGATTTTCTAACTGGCTCTTTTTAAACCTGGTTTAAAGTATAATTAATAGTTTTATGCTAACTATGGTTAAGATTAAGCAATTTTTCGTCACAGACAAGGTTTTGAGGCAAATTTTAATCTTAATCATAGTGTCAATCCAGGCATTACATTTTGATCAAAATTAACAAAGAAAGGGGGAATCTGCATAATAATGGTGAATTGATTCTCCAGAGGATGATTTACAGTTACCTCTGTCCCAGTCTACAATTGCTTCTGCTGAGTTTGAGATTTTGAACTTGATGTTCCTAGGTTGCTGCCTGAGTCATGAAGAATCAATCACTGGTTATAGAAAATGTTGATTGAATTGTCCTCCTTAATTATTGATCTTTGCAGTTTGTACAAAAAGTAAAACTGCCATGCTCCTGCTGGGGGGATTCTCCTCTGGGAAGGACCTGGAGCTCTCAGAAGCAGCCAGTGCCAAGGGGTCGGAGCCCTCAGAGAAGATTGCTGCTAGTCCTTCCCCATAGGAGGAGGGGGATTCTGAACTGAGAGCTGAGCAACCACCTGGCCCCTAAGAGCATTATTGCCTCTAGAGGCAGGCTGATGGGGCTTTGTGTTTGATCACAAAGGAGTATTTCATGGGAGCAGAGCCTTCCTCCTGTGTAGGACTTTTGCTAGATGGCATGTAATTCACTGCAACTGAGCCCTGGGCAGTTTCAGTTTCTTGTTTTCTGGATCTTGCCTTGTGGTTGAACCCTTAGTACTACTGACCCTTGAACTCTTGCTTAACTCTGCTTCTGGACTCTGTACTGTAGCTGTCTGTTTAACTGTGCTTTTATCTTTGCCTTGACTGCTTCTGCTTCAGCTTCAGCTGAAACACATACTAACTGGTGGGCAAAAGATGCAGTGCAAGTTGATAAGAGGTTCCCATCCTCCCTCCCTCCCTCCTTTTTTCTCCTATAAACTTTTTTAATGTATGAGGAATGTAGCATAGTTCAATCTTTCTTTCACAGGCCAGGATAAAAGCCATCAACACATTTTTTGCAAAGAATGGTTACCGGGTAGTGGATTCAAGTGTGTATGTTCAGCCTGTCCAAACACAAGCACAGTTTGCCTCGCCACTGTTTATGCAGCCTGTATATAGTCCTCAACAGTACTCCATCTACAGTATTGTGCCTCAGACATGGTCTCCAAACCCTGCACCTTATTTTGAAACACCACTGGTAAGTAGTTGTTGCTTGTGCCTCTAATGGGAATCATCTGAGATAGTTTTGTTTTGAAAGCTATAGAATGTGTACTCTTGAGCGGCTTCTGAAGGAGTTACTTGAGAGAGGCTCCTGTCCTGGAATGGAACAGCAGTGCTAGCATCACATTTGAGCCTCATCCAGCTATGCAGTACAATTGATGGATGTGCAGATTTTAGTATTCTGCTTCTGGTGGCTTGGGGAGCAGAACACAAACATTTCTAGGATTTTATATACAGCTCCTGTCAGTCCAAACCATTGAGAGATCCAGAAGTTCAGCTCTACAGAGGCTTGGATAGGGGTTTTAGAAGCCTGTGGGGCCCCTGCTAGATAGGACTACTCAGCGTAGCAGGGCCTCGGCTCTCTGGACCTGAGAAGAAACATACAGGAAAAGTTGGTCCCCAATATGGTGGCCCCTAGCCAGGAGCCCATAAAGATAATATGGTACTGGCATGCTATAATAATAACACCCAGTCTAGTCAATTTCCTGGTTTCCATATTTTGTTCTAATTGAAGCTTCTGGAATATCTTCAAAGACAGCTCCAGATTCAGTGCAGCAATCTAATGGGGAAACCTAGGAAAGCTAAACTCTGTTCAAGTAGGCTTCTATGTGATATTCCACCCTGAATGGCTGAAAGGCAATCTGTGCCACAGAAGACACTTGTGCCTGTAGCAAGAAAGACAGACCTATGCACACCCCAAGCCTGCAAAAGTACTCTTCTAGTGGGGAGTGCAAGCCCTTCCAGGCAAATTGAACACCACTCACCCAGAGTTTTTTTTAACTCATTGACTCCATTTCTGTGGCAAGGCATGATTTCAGCTCTTCTGTTGCCACACCTGAATCTGAATTTAAAAGAGAGAGTGAGCTGTCGACACAGTGATGGTGCTGCACTGTAATTCTCTAAATTAGCTCAGAGGTTACTGATGGATGCTAGATAACATGGAAGATGAGGTATCATTTTGTGAGACCCCTATTCCCCAACACCAGGCTAATCCTCCAACATCATGCCTGAAAAAGGCTATTCAGACATGAGCAAAACCATGACAAAGCTCTAAGCCCTACTTCCAGTTTAAGCAACTTCTCCAGAGGTTCAGGAAATTCAAGAGGCTGGCACTCACCCATTTCGTTTTCAGCAGAGGTCATCTCACACGACGAGCAAAGCCAAAACAGGTCTAATGACAAAAACAGACCTAACCTGTTGGAACCAGAGTGTCTGTTTCATTCATCATATGCTTAAAAACCTTGTTCAAGGTAGAGGATTCTAGCCACCAGCTCTTCTTGATAAATCCAACTTTTTTTCCACAAGTTGTTTCATTAGTATTTCCTTTTAAGAAGGCCAAGGCTACTTCAGCTTTTAAGGAAAAATACATAACCTTTCAAACTCAAGCAGTCATCTTCTTCCTATGTGATGTGGTAAATTGCAAGAGGCAAGCAAACAGGTGGTTAGTTGAACTTTACCAGGTATCTAGTTCACATCTTCATATCCTAAAAATGATATTGGACCCAACAATATCGGATGAGGTGGTGCACCGGATACCTCTAAAGAGTAATACAGGCATTTTATTGTCAAAATAACTTGCAAACATTGCAGCATGCTTCTGTCCCACTGCAACAGAACTCAAAAGGTCCTGACAAGCTTTTCTGCACAGCACTGAGTGGACATAATGGTGAAGGAGAAAAAATGCTTCTTCACCTTCCGTGCTGCAGAGTAAGCATTATAATGAGTTCATGCTCATGTTCAGTTACTCCTGATGGTTCCAGAGCCTTCCTGGCTTGCTGCATTGCCTTTAACTCAGAAGTATGCCAGGATGTTGAATGGACTCTGCAAAACAGGAGTGGATGCTCAGGAGCGATCATTACAACTGCTCGGATCTTCTCCATATTCCAAAGTATGACAAGGCTTTGAAAGGAGGGCCCACCATACTATCTTGCAAATCTCCAGAGCGCTTTGGAATAAGATTGATGTTGCAATTGCTGTTGGAATGCTGTTGCCAGTGGTTTAGACATTAATGGCTGTGTGTTGAGTTATTTTGAGGGGACAGCAAATTTACACTGTTATACAAGCTGTATACTCACTACTTTACATTGTAGCAAAGTGTCATTTTTCTTCAGGGTTGTCACATGAAAAGATATAATAAAATTTTTACAAAATGTGAGGGGTGTACTCACTTCTGTGATATACTGTATCTAGGAACATAATTGGGAGTGCTTCAGTTCACCCCAATTCTCTTGCACACACCAGTTTTGATGTCTCATCTACAATTGCTAGCCATGGATAAAGGAGATCTTATTCACTGACCTGCATTTAACAACAGGATCACCAGACCAGAGGACAGTCTAATATTAACAGTTGTTCTGGGTAAAGAAGAAATGAAGCACAAGATGGTTAATAGCTCTTTTCACCTGACATAGCAGTCTTTCGATTCCATAAGTATTATGATAAGAACCCTCTAATTTCCCCTTATCAAAAATATCCCTGTTATATGATCTTACAAGTCTATGAATAATGCAGAAGGAAACAAAGAGAAAAGCAGCAGGTGTTAACTCTTGCTATGGCACTGGTAGGGAATGATGCTAGTGAGATTTAATTTCTTTTTGCAGTTAAATGGGATGGTCCTAATGCTTGTTCTGCTTCCAAAGGGGATATCCCCACTTTTGTGATTGCCATCAGCACTACTACTTGTATCCGCCCTAGAGGAAATACCTACTCCTTAAGAGGAAGTAGGGTTAGATTTTTCAATATCTAGCAGACAGAGCTCCTCTCACCTAGTTGTAGATGAAGTGTAGGCCATTTAATCTTGCAGCTTTTGCTCTGTTAGACGGTGGCAATCCTTCATTATTTCTGGGGGTGGGGGGTTCTGACTCTCATGTCTGGATTATATGCTTGTGCACAACATTCATTCAGATCATTCGAAGGCTGAGCAGGAGTATGGCATGAGCCGTTTCTGTGCACTCTGTGCATGCTCTAGGGTAAGGTTGCTGCCTTCTCTCTTCACCACGACAGCCTGCACTGTTTGGAACATTCCTCATTTCTCAGCTTGTTTGTGCTGAAATAGTTACAGGTTGTCCCCTCCTGCAATTCCTGAGTAGCTTTTCTCTTCTCTTGGTTGTTTTTCTTGTTATACTCCTCCTTTGGCATTGAGGATTGTTTCCCTTGTTTGGCACTGTGTTTACCCCTTAAGAGCACATGCCCCCCAAGGCTTTCAAAAATGTACCTTTTGTGATGGGAGAATACCACTGACCAGGAGACATACTCTGTATCTGTGTCTTGTGTCTACAAGAGGCATACAGGGTGAAGTCCTTACCCACTACCAGGCTTTCTTCAAACAAGCCTGAAGAAACAGGATGGCTCATTCCAGTGCCTTACTGTAGGAACAAGCTCTCAGGACTGTGCATTTTGGTGCACAGAACCAGCTTCTTTAACATCAACTCATCTTTCATCTGTACCAAGCCAGTTACCACTCTCGCATTCCTGTTTGTCTCAGTTTCCCCGTCAGTGGCAATGGATGCAGCAGCTCTTAATAGGACCATTCTGGCCCAAGGACAGGACACTTAGTATCTCCATAGTGTTTCACTTAGTGGGTGGTAGGTCTGCTTGCATTTCATTTCATTTCATTTCTATCCTTCCTGTAGCCAAAGCTCTTTGGGTGCCTTGAAGTATAAAACAATATAAAATGAAGTTTAAAAACAGTGAAATACAATACTTCTCTACCAACTCACACGGTTCCTGGCACCCCAACACTGCAGCCACACAGTTACGGTCATGGCATCATCTGCGGCCTTCTCTTTGGGTGTTCCATTTCCCCAAAGGTGCAGCACTGTATCTGGTGGTAGTTGTCAGCTTCACTCCCACGTTGATGGCAGGATTCATGCAGAAGCAACCTTTAGCTATGTGACTCTTTGCATAGGTCTGCCATGGTCTCTCTCTCATCCAGTAAGTTTTCTTTGCTTACAAATCACCCATATGTGTGAGTCCAAAACACAGTGAAGGAGGAAGACAGGCTGCTTGCTTGGAACTGTAGTTCCTTAAGTGGACTTTTGTGAACTCACACAGTCTAAACTTCTCCCTGCTATAATGTCTCTAATCTGTTCTTCTGTGTCAGACTGGGAACCAAGTGGAAGGATTAGAGTCAAGCCCTTGATAATACGCAGACTGTGAACAGGACTCTCCAGTTCTCCATGTATATACTCAAGAACATTTGTTTTCAGTGGATGGATTCTCCTGATATGCTTTGTGTCCATTGCAGGCTCCGTTTCCCAATGGTGGATTTGTGAATGGCTTCAGTTCACCAGGATCATACAAGACAAATACTGCTGCATTAAGTATAGGTCGTCCATTCCATAGAAACCGGTAAGAAAATTGGCAAATCATTTTGGAGACTGTACCAGGAAAAAGTACTATAACTGTATCTATCTTGCCAATCATTGATCTAACTTATGTAGTTTTCCTACTTTAGTCAGTTTAGGCATTAGTGTGTGTGTGTTAGGATTAGAAGACCTTGTATTCTGAGTAATGATTTGTTTCAACAGTTCCTGGGGTCATCTAGGATATTACCATATAATTTTATGTTTGCTATAGTTAACATTCTTTTCCAGCATAATTTAACTTAAGACTTGGATCCAGTTCCTCCCAATTTCCCCCTACCTGCTCTTCTTAGGTTTGCTGGGCAATGGCAGCAGTGGTTAAGATTTTATTCGGCTCTTCTGATGTGTCATGGCTGTATTCTAGATTGAATCCTTGTATCAAAGCTTCAGACTATTCCTTCTCCAGTACTGAGGGCAACAATCAATACAACTGTAGTGACCACAGCTGTATAAAAGTCTCTAGGATTGGGGAATGGGGGCACAACATGCCTAGGGAATGCAGCTGCCCCAGTGTTTTCTTAACAAATTTCTTAACCATTCTGCTCAGTAGTGACCACCAAGTGTTAAAACAGTCCAGTTTAGCCTGCAAACAAGCTGAGTGCAACCATTTTAGCAGTACAGAGGGGTGATGTTTAAAAGTTATTTTTATGCCACATTGTTGCCTATAAGGGGATATGCCTTGTCCTAACATTTTTCCCAATAAAGGAAATTGGAATCAGAGAGTCAAGTCAGAGAGATGATGTGACATATTTCTTACACTGCCTTATATGGTGGCATCCCAAACATTTCTCGCAGTTGTAGTTCCATGTTGTAGGTGAACTTTTGAATTATACACCAAAAAATGTGATGAATATAAAGCATCTTTGTTTATTTCTGGGAGGAAGAGTCCTGTTTGCAACAAATTTCCATTGGCCAAAATGACATTAATCACCTTGGTTTTTTAAATCAAATGGTGGGGAGAGGCATATAATAGATATAGGAAGAGAAGAATCATTAGTTGTTGGCATGCTTCCTCCAATGTATGGCTGGAAGTAACAGCAGAACTGTAATGTGTCACATACTAGAGCAGATTCTGAAGAGCCCTGTATCTTAATCTGGCTTAGTGGCTATGACTTCCAGAATGTGTAATGTAGTCTAAGCAATAAATGGAACTGCTGTGATTTTAAAATCTCAAAACTTACTGGGAGAAAAGAGGCAGTACAGGCTCAGTTTAGTTGGAATATTTCAATTGTATGGGCTTTGGTGATGACTTGAAATGTAAATGTTTGTATCTTTATGCATGGCATGCTTAAAAGGCTGCACCTTAAGACTAACATGGACATTGCAGTGGAAAGAAGTGATGAGTGCTGCTGTTTAGTGCTGCTGACAGACTTGTGACACCCACCTTTGTAATTAACTTACAAATGTTGTTCTTTGTTCTGATACAGCTGTAAAGATTTGAGTAAAACTGTACCCATTCATAAAAGAAGAAAATATCAAGTGAATGGGTGTAACTCTTTAATTACTGAAAACTGTAACAACCTAAATTAACATGATCATTGCTTTCTGTAAGATTTCATTTGCCAACTGCTTCTGTACACATTAGGTGAGGCTAAAGTTCATGGCCACCAGCCATGTAACTAACAGAAGGTGGACTATGGAACTGTAGATATAGCAACAAAGAGGAACCTGTAGGTCAGTCAGCCTTTCATTTCATCTAAATGTAAGACTTGCCTCACGTGGCTGTTTTGCTTACCGGAATCTTCAAGAAAGCTGTATGGCACTTGTAGGGATGGAATGAATTGTAAATGAATGTGGCATGTTTGTTTGTATTTTTGTTCTGTAGAACTATTAAAGTGCTTGTATTGATTCCCAAAAGCTGGTACATGTGCATTTGTGTACAAATACACAGAAGACATTTAAATGGTTTTTCAGTGGAAACAGCATAATCAGAACCTTTCACAAACTCATTTCATTTAACTGTTTTCCATTTAATCATACATTCTTCTTCTTCACTATATTTCTATACCACACATAGCCAAATTTTGAACTGTAATATTTCAGATGCAAGCATTCCACTTGTAGCATGTGTTTACCAAAGCAGGGAATAAAAAGGGGAGCTTTCCTGTAGTAATATTAGAGCTTTTCATCAAATGCAAAACTATGTATTATAAGAGTGTCTATGGAGTCAATGTGGGCAGGTAACAGTTTTATGGAATCTGTTTTTTTGCGGGGAGGGGGTTAGTATCTTGATATTCAGCAACCAGGCCACAGTTAAACTTAACACTTAAGTCAGATGTGCTTTATCAGATGGTTTCTTGTCATTATTTCTGAATCTGTTCCTGTCAGAAAAACCATACTTTGTTTTCCAGCATTGAACCACATTTAGAAGCCACAGTTCATTAGTTTGTACTTCAGCTTGTCCCTAGTTTGTTCCTGAATTCTGCCCCCCCCCCCGCTTCATTTCCCTGCTCTAGCTAAGATGTCTATCAAGAAATAGAGACACAGGCAAGAACAGCAAAGAAACTGCACCTTTCTTAAAGACTGACTTTCTCTTGCTGGTACTTTTCCTGAACCAGCCTTCCCACTGCAGTCTGCCTGATATAATAGGAGTTTGTCCCTACATGCCTCCTTGCAGAGTAGTCCTCCCTTTCCTCTTAAGATGGAGTGGCTAGCTTTGCAGCTACTGCTAAAGCAGAGGGAGATTTACAGGGATAATAGCTTGTCCAAGAGCCTTTCAGCACCTATTTGCACCCAGGTACCTTGGCTTTTGCAGTCCCAGAGATACAGATAAATGCCTTGCCACATGAGGAGAAGATTTCTACTTATGTTCCTGTTCAGGAGGGAATGTCTTCCTGGAGATCTTTCTGGGAAACTCCAGATCCTGACTACCCCATTGACCAAGTACTAAACTGGGAGATAGAGCTCCCTGTGGCTGTGTGTTCATTTCATCTTTGTTTCTTTGTCCCCACTCCCTGCTTTTTATTGTCTACCGGGGCTAGACTTGCTTTCTTCACCACTTTGGTGAGAGATCATTTCCAGTTTCCCTTCCCATCACAAAAATGTCCCCTCCACTTTTCTTTCAAACAATTTTTTTTAAAAGTCACATTATTGTGAACTTGAATCATGGTGACATTTGAGTTCTGTCCTTGCTCTGTCAGAAGGAAAAAAAAACCCTTTCCCCCCCACATCCCATCCAGTTGAGGCTCAACATTGTAGGAGTGTTTTGTAGAAGGTGCTGCTTCTTGAAAAAGATAAAAGATTGGCAGTGCCATGGAAAGCAAAGACGTTCTGTGTAGTAATCTACAATGCACAGCAGAAAGGACCAGCTTCTTGAAAGAGAAGATGGTCAGCTTGCGGTCTTACATTGCTCTCATTCCATCCATGAAGTAGTGCTGCCTTGGCAACACCCAATACAGCAGTTACATTCCTAAGGTTCTCCTCAACCAGACTGAACCAGACTTCTCACACTTTAGATGCACTGTTGCTGCTGTAGAAAGAACATAGGACATCATGGCAATATCCTAATGGATGAGTAGCTGAATATACAGTAGTACCTTGGCTCACAAACTTAATCTGTTCCAGGACTCTGGTCGTGACCCAAATTGGTCGTGAGCTAAGTTAAATTTCCCCATAAGGTTCAATGTAAATACGGTTAATCCATTCTGTAACTATTTTTTTTAATCAGAAAAATGTGAAGCAAAGCGACAAAGAACAACAAAGACTGCAGCCACCCCCCCCCCCAACCCTGAGCACGAGTGCGGCCATCTCCCCCCACCCCAGCACGACTGCAGTTGTGGCCGTCATCCCTGCATGCCCCCGTCATCAGCATGCTGGGGGGGGGGGATGTGGGCACAATCACGGGCACGCTTGGTGGGGGAGGCAGGCGCGAATGCGGGTGTGCTCGGGGGAGAGATGGGTGCGATCATGCTGGTGGTCGTGGGGAGGAGATGGCTGAGATCATGGTTGCGCTTGTGCAGGAAAGACAGGCGCAATCACGGGCACACTTGTGCAGGAAAGACGGGCGTGATCTCAGCCATCTCCCTGCCCCAGCACGATTGTGGCCATCTCCCCACTCTGGGCGGGGGGTGGGGGTGGAGATGGCCGCAGTTGCCACCCAATGTGAAGTTCGCGACCTGAGTCAAAATTTTTATGAAATTTTTGTTTGCGACCCTATTTGGTTGTGAACTGAGGTGTTCGTGAGCCAGGGTACTACTGTACAGCTTTCTATGTCTACGCACTGTGCTGTCTCCCAAGAACAGATTGAATCAGTGCACCATTTAGGGGAACATTTTGGATGCTCTGAGCAGCCTTTAATCAATTTACTGACAATATAGCTATGTATAGTCATGTACCTGTAAAGAAAAGACTTGTATTGACCCTGTATAAACTGGCCTTCTACTTCTGTTACCTTCTGCTTAGCACCAGCTTTGGAGTTTGTAAATCTGCCCCTTCTGTGAGATGGTGCATATGCTGAATAAGCTGTGCTTCTTAAAAGTGATAGGGAGGATAAAAGAAGACTCTTCCAAACTTTTAGAGAGCTGAGTTTCCCTAGGTCTGCATCTGACACAGATTCCTTGGTTGTCTCTATCTTTGCTGCAGAAAACCATGCTAGAGCTGAAAATGCTTCTACGGCACCGTTCTGTCGGCTGTGGTAGGTACCAAGGACATGTACCAAGCCGCAGTGCTATTATGTTCTCTCCTAGCAAACAAGTAATTTGTCTGAAACTTCTTCAGTGCCTCCCCCCACCACCCCGTTCTAAACCTCCTCACCTTGAGCAGTTGGGTTTTTGCTTTGAAAACCTGTTTCACAGTGCTCTACATGTCACCAAAGCCAGCCCTGAAAAAGAATAATTTCTCCCATAGCAGGATGAATCTGCCAGTGGAGAAAGCATTTGGGTGGCTGAAGGCAAGGTCGAAGCTGATGTGCATCTCAGATGTGGAGGAAGACACTGCTGTAATGTGCAAGATGTAGCAAGCCTTGATCACAACATCTGTAGGTCTCAAAACACTATTCTCCTGAAAGAGTACCCAGAGTTCCTGGTGCAGGAGGATAGTACCATTTCAGTGGAATGCAAGCACAGGCTTTTGTCCACTGTGGCAAATCAAACTAATGTCAGGAGATCCCAGCTGTTGGGATACAAGGGTGACCAACTCTGCTATCGCTGTGTTCATTTAGGTCCATTTTCACTGCTTTCTCCATGATTACTGATCCTTAGACTGTTCCTGTACACTTCTGCTTAAAGGCATCCCTGCGATGATCACTTCCAAACACCATGGTCTACCTTTCCCATGCATCCATTCCCTCCTGTTATTATTCCTCGTTTTAGTAATGGCTTTTAATGCATTCCTATTTTAAATTCCACTCAGGTGTACTTAGTGGGTTAATACTGGTGGATGTCAAATAATGGTTGATGATTGATGAGTTCATTTATGTGGGGACTTGAAAAAAAATAAGTAATTGGTACACTTAGGTGCTGGTGCATATACAGCCCCTTGTTCCTGAAACATTTGAGTTTTAATTTTCAAACAGAAGAGTTTGGGAATCAAAAGTTCTGTTTCTTAGAAGTGGGGAATGGAGTTGATTTTTTTCATGGCCTGAAACATTATTATTGCTGCCAAGTTCATTTCCATGTTGAAGTACTCCACTGGTAAGTGACTAGTGGACTCACTCTAACTGAGCCAGTCTTTTAGCACTTTGAAGACATTTGAGATCTTGAGAGCGAGCAGGTAGTATAGATGCTGGTGGGAAACCAAACCAGCATTGGGGGATCATCTGCAAGGCAATATGTAGTTAATAGCAACAAACCATGGTTATCAATAAACCATGTCTTAGTGTTATGTCTTAAAGACATCAAGCAGAACCCAACCAGGTTGCTGCTGTCATGCTTTGTGTATAAAAGATGTACAGTAAAAGCTTGGTTTGTGAGCATAATTCGTTCCGGAAACATGCTTGTAATCCAAAGCACTTGTATATCAAAGTGAATTTCCCCATAAGAAATAATGGAAACTCAGATGATTCGTTTCACAACCCAAAAATATTCATATAAAAATGATTACAATACTGTAATATAATACAAAATAATAAAGAAAATACAAAATATAAAGAAAAATAAAACAAATTAACCTGCACTTATCTTTGAAAACCTTCCTGGCTGGTGTGAGGGAGACGAGAGAGGAGGGTTATTGTGTAGGACAACTTTCACTATCACTAATGGAATCACTGCTATCTATTGGCTCAATGGAATCTTTCTTTTCGTGCAGCTTTAACAAGGAACCTAACCAATGACACTTGCTTTTGGCTCCTGAGGATTTTGTGGAAATGTGACATTGCATTGTTGTTAAACAGATTCATCATTTGCACTGCTACAGCCTTATTTGGGTGGTGCTTTTCTACAAAATTTTGCACTGTTTCCCACATTTTACACATCTCCCTAATCTCATGTGAAGTGAGGGATTCCTCCACCTTTTTCTCCTCCTCCTCTGTAGATGAGATCTTCATAACCTCTTCATCTGCTTTACCTTTCAGTATCACCCTCTGGCGGGGGGCGGGGGTGGATACTGAAAGGTGAAGCAGATGCAAGATTCTAACCTTGTAGTACAACACACCATGTATTCCTCCCACACAAGCCTTGAAGTCCACAGTTAAGACCTGACATGATTTTTAAACAGATCTTCACAACAAAGCATTGGAACAGTTAAGTAGAACCTGATTTAAGTTAGTCAATGACAGTGCACACCACTAAATAACCCAAGACTCTAATAAAACCCCTTTGTCTTCAGAATGAGCGTATGCCTTGTGGTAACCAACAAGGAAAGGCTGTCAGCTTAAAGCTGCTTCCAGCGCTTTATGCATGTTTAGATAGAAAAACAGTTCTGTAATTCCCAGCATACCCTCCCTTTCTGGAGGGATGCTGGGAGTTGTAGGATCACAGCGAGAGAGGGAGAGGGGAACAGCCATTGGCTCAGTTGTGATCATGTGACATTCGGCGTCACGTACTACTCGTATTGCAAGACATCACTCGTTTAACAAGTTAACATGTATTAGAAATGTTTGCAGAAAGAGTCACATAACAAGTTACTTGCAATCCAAGGTTTTATTGTATGTGCCTTCTCCAGTCCACATTGTAGAATTTTGTGGTAACTGTTGTAAACTTGGTGTTAGAGTTTTATAAAATTATCTAAGTAGCCAGATGGTATCTTGGGGAGCCCTTTTCTTGTGAGCATTTTGTCAGTAAATATATACTTCAGGGAAACAGCAAATCTTGGTTTTTGCATTTATAATTAAGATTTTAAAAAGTTATGGAGCAAGTTACAGCATAAGTTTGGACAGTTTTATTTATTTCATGTATAATATTTATATCCTACCTTGTTTTTGGTCAAGGAATTTGAGGTGGTTTACATAATTATCCGCCTCTTATTCCCTACAATAAGAGCTTTGTAAGGTAGGTTGGGCTGGGAGTCTGTGGCTGACCCAAGTCACTCAGTTAGCTCCATGGTTGAGTGGGGACTAGAACCCAGATCTCCTGAATCTCAGTCCCACTGCACCACAGTTGCCTTTGAATAATTGTCTTCGATCAATTAGATTTTCTGGTTCATAGAAAATAGAAGTGCAGATTCTGAGCTTCAGTCCAATAATGGTAAATACTGGGCATTAGCAGGGGAAAGAGATCTAACATTTGAAGCCTGAACTTTTCTTAATGCTTTCAAACTTTTCTCTCATTAGTCTTGTTTGTTCTGGATTGTGTAGCTTTCTTCATTGCTTGGGTCACATGTAACATGTAGCATGGGTTGAGTATGGATGGTTGAATCATAGGTGGTTATTTGTGAACACTGCACTAAGATTTAACCATGGCTTCCTAAACATAAACAATCCAGGAAGAGAATACATGGTATATTGTCAGCTTGTGAACTTTGCTGTTTTTTTGTATAGGATCCTACATAAGGAACAAGTTGGCTTAGGGCATAGGCATGTGTGAAGATATCCAATTAAGCAAAATTAGGAGCCAAGTGGTGCATATTTTGGGATCCCCCTACAAAAAGATTCAATTTGTGCAAGATTCAATTTCAATTGTGCCTCCCCCCCGAAAAACAAAAACAAAAAACAAACACAAAACCCTATAAAGTCAGCTACAGCCTGCCATTGCTTACTGGAATGCAAACACTGTGTAATCCCTTCAGGCATAGACAGAGTGGAAATCTCAGTATTACACATCCCTAACTGCAACCTGGGACCTAATTGTGTAAGCTGTAAGTTTGGTGTTACTGCATCCAAAGAAAGTTTTTATACAGAGACTGTCACACTCAAGTTTATACGCTCATACTGAAACTAAATGGGAATGCCATTTTGAGGAGAAATCATTATCTGTTTAAGGTTGTATCGAGTTACTTTCCCTCAACTCAAAATAATAATGATGGAACATTTGGTTATGTCTTACTTTCAATATCTTAATGAGAGAGGGAAGGTGTAGTTTATTGAAAAGAGAAGCAAATGCTTTTTGGATGAAGAGCTTGCACATAAACTAAAAGGAGATTTGAATGATTATGGGGGAGGAAGATCTGAATTCTGTATTTGTGCAGAAAGTCTTTTTGCTGGTAAATGTATGCTCCATATAAATAATAACTGGTCTTAACCTATGTATATTAGCACATGCATACAAATACTACTTTCTTCTAGTTGATTGAAGAGGTTTATATAACTTGAAAAAGCATGCAATCTGACATTCACATTGAGTGAAATACAATTTTATTCTGTACCACTTTATTTGGAAATTTACATTCTGCCAATTTATAATTGTAATGCTGCTGGCCCATCTAGACCCATGTGGTTATAACAAACGGGGAATGCTAGAAGGCTTCCTTGAATCACAACGTATTGACTCCTTCAGAGGACAGCACTAATTTAGTTTGCAAACTGAAGTGTGTGGGGGAATTTATGTGTCTGTACAATTTTATATATTTTCCAGTGTGAAGCCTCATTTCCGGGTATCGGGCAGCTCTGAACACTCAACAGAAGCAACATCCACAGCTAGTGCCATGTCTGTTGGAGAGGGACAGTTGCACAGAGCCAGCACAAGGAACTTTCAAACCGAGCGGCAAGCAAATACATTATCAGGACATCAGGAGCAAAGTTATTCACCGAAGGATTCTCCCATCGCTCAGTTAGAACAAAATGGTGATTATAGCATGGGCAGAGGCAGGTAAGGAATAGGATCTTCAAATGTGTATTTTACAGTTTCTTTCTGTCATGTATAGTGTCTTTGTACACAGCCAGATCATTGATCCACTGTTGTTTGCACTGGCTACCAGTCTGGTCCAGAAGTATTTCTTAGTTCCTGAATTGTTTTTAGCTGGATTTGAATTTGAAACATTTTGCATGAAATAGATATCACTGAGATATGGTTTTCCTCTGAACTGGGCAAATTCTAATATAACGTTTGGAAGAAGAAATAAGTAGGAATTTAATCATATCAACAAACTTTTGACAGCTTAAGCAGTATTTAAAGTATAGACAGTAGAAGGAATTTATAGATTCATAGAATAATATGGTTGGAAGGGGCCAAGAAGGCCATTGGGTCCAACCCCCTGCAAGTCACACCATCCCACTCAGATGACTGTCCAGTTTTGCCTTTAATGGATTCTCCTCTTGGCTAATTTGCAGGAGGAATGTTTTCAGAGGTCGGAGGAGACGGGAAGATGACAGACTTTCAGTGAGTATTTTGTTGTTTTTGCTGTTAAAGAGCTCCTGACATAACAAGTTTTATGCTATTCAGTTTTTCCCCCAGGATGGTTACATTGTCCCATTTATACATGACTATTGATCCCCCCATGTTCCAAGATACATTGCTCTCAGTTATCAATACATTCGTTAGTAATGGTTCTGGAATTTCATTGTGCGTATTTGAGAATTTCAATAGTGCTTGGCTATTTTCTCATTGTACTGAATGGATGTAATGGGGGGGGGTAGATTGATGGGGGAAAGAAGTGTGGGTACAGATTCTCCTCTAGCTCAAAGATTTATAGATGAATAACGTGCTGTTTCTGTATGGTAACATGTTACCTTCTCTTACAGCGACCTCAGCCTTCAGTTGAAACCAAGGCTTTGACACCAAAGTTTGACTTGCTAGCCTCAAATTTCCCTCCCTTGCCTGGTACCATGCTAAAAATACCAGAGGATCCTGTCCTGGAAAGTAGGATGTCAGACATTGTTAAAGGTGTAAACAAAGAAAAGGTACTTAATGCCATTGTTAATGGTTTCTTCTGTTCTTTACTAAACTTACCTGTGACTTGTAAACTTACTGTGCAAGTTTAAAAATATTTGTATGTTGGTTGAAGATTTTTGGTCACGCTTAAGCCTTATTCCTTTAGAATTGGTTGGATCCAAAAGTACTTGGCTTGACTGGCTCCTGTCTTTATTTAATAATTCTTGAGCAGATTAATAATGAGGTTATGGTGGTTGATGATCCAGAGCAAGAAGAGAGGTTGGTGAGGTTTCTTTTGAGAAAGCTTCTGTTAGAATTATCTAGAATTCCATGCCATGAAATAGAGAACAGTCAAACTTTCTCTGAATGCTGTGATGCACCATTGCCCATATCAGTATAGACCGCGTTAACAAAGAGACAGAAGCTGCATTCATCTAAAACTTACCAAGAAGCGCTGTGAGTTTTGCCTTACTGTGCATGGATAACATGCTGACAGATGCTGCCTTGGCTTCACTTGGCTTCTTCTGCTAATAGGAACTGCTAAACTAAACAGGAACGCTTCAGGGAACAAAAGTTGAGCCTTGCATCTGAAATGAGACAGCCTGTTTGTCACCCCTTCAACAAGTCAGAATTGCAACCATAATTTGTTACTGGTTTATGATTCTGGGCTTGTTTAGAAAAGCAAACCTGAAGTCTCAGTTTACATAATGTTCAGATCTGGCTGCCTGGTAATTTCTCAGTTGGTTTAGCTATTTCATGCTGGCAGAAAGAGCCAAGCTAAAGCAATCGGGCAGAAAGCATTAGTTTTCTTAGAAACCCCTGAACTTCCACAGTTTGGATAAAATAATTTGAATTGAGATCTTTGCTAGTGGGGCTTCTCCTTAGAATTCCCAATGAATTCAAACCATGTGTGTTCAGCTAGAGATTACTCAGCTTTCCAGTGCTCTATGCTTTCTGTGGGACTAATTCTGATTTAGTCCCTGACCTGATAGCTCAAGCACAAGTGAAGGACCTTTGCAAGGTAATGAAATTTGATGTGTTATATATGGAAACTGACTTTGGACAATTTTAAGGAGGTAAAATGTTCAGTTTCTTATTATTTGGGGCAAACAAATCTATTGGGAACAAACAAAACAGGAAAACGGGGTATTGTGGCCCAAGCAATGATAGGTAGATGCCAGAGTCGAGTGGACAGTTGTATTCAGAAAGAGTCACAAAAATTGTATTAAAGCCCATTGGATGCCAGCATGTTTGCAGTCTTGAAAGAGGGATACTTGAGCAGGAGAAATGAATTGACCACCCAATCTCCAAGGCAGTTAGGAGGTTTGAAACAGAGAACAAAGAGCTAGATGGGTTCAGAGGCTGGATCCAGGGAAGCAACCATACTTGGGTTATAGCAGCTGAATAGATGGTTCAAGGTGTTTTCCTGCCCTTTGATTGATTTATCTCTTAGCTGGCTATATAGAATGGCATTATCATAATAATCAGAACAAAAGGTATCATTCATGTAGTGATTGACCTGGCAGATACGCTACGGCAGTGGACCATCTTTTTCTGGTAGGGCTTTTGATTGGCCAATTTAGTTACCCTCATGGGTTAGTTGACTGGGTATAGCATGGCAGTCCAGCAGGCACATGCCAATTTTCCCTTCCTGCAGGAAACAGCCTTCTTCATTTATCCTTGATTAACATACATTTCACAGCTCATGTACTTCTGTTGCTGTTCTAGGACCTAAATAGCATTCCTGGCAGCTTTTTAGGAAGTGCCTTAAAAAACTAAAATGGATCTCTGAGGCAAAGTGCCAGAGTAGTGCCAGTCAAATCCATAGTGCACAGTACATACATCAGAAATCCTGGAGTTCCTCTGTAACGAGTTGGGAGGGACCAGGAAGTGTGCTGGCAACCATAAATCCAGAGTTCAAAAATAATGAGACAGATACATACAATGCTTGCTTGGTTTCTTAGAAGTGTTCCAAACCAAAGCACTGTGTGGAAGGGCCAAGAAATCTGGGTGAGGAGTGTGGGCCAGAATTGTTTCATCATTGATATGGCTCCCTTTATGTTTGTGGTATACCTAGGTAGTGACATGTTGCAGACAGGCACAGTTGCTTTTACCATCTTCTGGTGAGCTCACTGTCTAGTCATGCACTTTTTTGAAGTAGTTGATTCACACAACCCGCTGGCTAGCACTTATGCTTTAGAATATATGAAAATGATGCACACAAGCACTTGTTTTCATTTGTATTGTTGCAAACACACCCCTCTTTCTTGCTCCTTCTAGGAAAACAAAGAGTTGACTGTCAGTTCTCTAGCATCAACTCAAGAAGAGCAGGGCCAAAGTACTGTTCAGCCCATTATGAGTTCTCCCTGTGGGGCTAATGCTTCTGGATTAAGGTATGAAAATAAGTCTTAACCATTTCAAGTTGTACAGGGAATTGTTTAGCTGCAGCGTGAAGGAAGAACAGATAAATTAGTATGTGTTTTACTTAGGATAGTTGCCAGGACTGTTTGCTGCCAGTGAAACACTGAAAATGACTTATAATCATCGGAGGTTAATACAATGCCCAGTATAATAGCACATTACAATAAAACCTACAACTATGTGTAGGTTAGGGTTATTAATAGCTTTTTATGTAGGCTATTAATGCACTGGGAAAAAATGAAGCTACACCTGTGTGGTCAATTGCAGAGAATAACATTGGGTGACTGTTCCTTGGACCCCTGGCAATTAAGGTAAGTGGTTCTGCAGGGTACCATCTTGTCCCTAATGTTGCTGGGAACAGCCATTGGTGGATTTGAGCCAAGTGCCGCCAGTGTGTTCGTGAGACACAGCTCTGTCTCCTTTTGTCAACTGAATCGGGAGGCTGTACGAGTCCTAGATGAGTATGAGCGAGGTGAGGGCCAGTACAGTGAAGCTGAATCCAGCAAGATGAAAACTCTGGACAAATGGTTTTCAAGCCCAGGGTTGCACTCCTTCTGGAACATCAGGCTCATCATTTGGGGGAACTCCTAGATCCATTTCTGCCACTGGGGTCCCAAGTGGTTACAGCAACTTGGAGGGTCTTCTACCTTTTTCGACTGGTTTGCCAGCTGTGGCCTTTCTTGAACAGGGATAGCTGGGCCACAGTGATGCCAGTACTTGTGACTGCTAGGTGGAATTACTGCAATGTGCTTTACACGGGGCTTCCCTTTAGGCTGCTCTGGAAGCTGGAGCTTGTGTGGAATGCAGCAGTTTTGGCTGTTGCTGGGAGTTGTCCCTTTGGGCATGCAACTCCTATGCTGAAGGAACTGCATTGGCTGCCTATTTGTTGCTGGACTGGGATTAAGATTCTGGTACTTTTGTACAAAAGCCTGAGCAGGTTGGAACTAGGACACCTGAGGGAGCACCTTTCTTTTTACCAATCAGACCAGTTACAAAGATCACTGGGAGGACATTCTCAGGGTGTTCCCACATAGACTTATGGCTTGACTAGGGTCCACCAGCAAAAAGCCTTCAGTGTGACAGCTTTATTTCTGTGGAATTCCCTGCCGTTTTTCAGGGTCTCTTGAAGTCATCTTTGTTCCCAAAACAAAGCTACAGTTTTACTGTTACCCTATTTAAAATATTTTGTTTCTATTCTCTTATTTGTGTTAACTTTTTACTGTTTACAGCTCTGGCATACTGCTAATATAGGAGCAGTATACAAATATTGTAAATAAATAAAATAACTAAAAAGAGAAGACCTGTGCAAGTATGAACCAGGCTATCTGTCCAGGTCTTCAGAGCTGGAAGTGTGTGAAATACTGACTGTCAGCTGGCCTGAACAGCCTTTCAGAGTTCTCATCAGGCAGGATGCATTCGGGGGAGGGGGGGCGTTGACGGATAGCCTGATTTGAGGATTCAGAGGTGAACATGCAGAACATGTTGGCTGTCAGCTGGCTCAATCTGCATCTTTAAACTTCTCTAGTGTTGGGCAGGCTCCTCCTGGTCAAGGAGAGCTGTAATAATCTCATGGTTTTGTTTGTTTGTTTAAGCTTTTTTGTCCCGTCCCCTACAAATCTCTCAGGACAGCTTGTTCATCATCTCAGAGGTCTGGTATTGACATTTTGTTTTTGTTTTGTTTTGTTTTGTTTTGTTTTTTGAGTGGTGCAGTCATTTGGATCCCCATATCTGGTCACACTGAGCATGCATAAGACATACCTATGTACCTTACAGAGTTCATTTGTGAGTCCAAGAGCAAGATCAAGAAGGTTGCATACATTGTTTCAAGCTTTCTCACACCTATGAATATAAAAACCTCAGTTTTAATAACCTTAATAATGTAAGGGCGTGTGTGTTAGTGGGATGGCATTGTGTGTCTTCATGCATTCAACATGCACACAGGGAGAAGGCGCAGGGAGAACTTGACTGCCTTGACAGGGAAACCGACAGTGTTTTGCTTTAGATGTGTCCCCATGCTTTGAAAGATATTTGATGCAAGAAATTCTTTTTAAAAGAAATCCATTTAGTTTATTTATTATTAAATAATATTCTGCTAATCAATGGTCCAGCAGGACTCTCTGAACAGATGTGTTTGTGTATGATGTAACATCAATTCTTATTGCATTTACTAGTGCCACTCAGCCAGATAAAAAGCAAGAAGAGGTCCATTTGCAGAAAGAAGTTGCAAGCCAGACTTCCCCACCTTCATCTGTATGCCCACTCAGTACTGTAAAGTCACCCAGGACAAATACCACTTCTTCCACAACCAGTGGAAATGTTTTGCCTGCTGTGACAGTGCAGGTAAGGGTGTCTGCTCTCCATTTTTGGTTGTTGTTGTTTTTTTAAATAAATCTCTTGCCAGACTATGTAGTAAGTGGCCTTGGAAAAGTTTCTCTTAAGTACTTTTGGCCTTTTTTGGTGGGTAAGGGATGCAAGGGCAGAGGCAGAAGAGCAATTATGTGTCATTACTAAAAGATAAAACTACTTGGTGTTCTCCAACATACTGTCCTTGATCTTGTTTTTTGGTAACACTAAATTCTTTGTCTTTGCTACCCAAAGGAACCCCGGAAACTCAGTTATGCTGAAGTCTGCCAGAAACCTCCAAAAGAAATAGCTCCTGTTCCTGTTCAGCCTCTTAGGGAGCTGCGTACCAATGTAACCCCTCCTCCCAAAACGGAAGAAAATGGTACCCATGAGAAGGCTGGAGAGAAGGTGCATGAAAAACCTGAAGGACGGGTGAAGGATTTTGCTGTCTTCAGGGGCAGTGGGCCTCCTAAGGGAGCTGCTGGAAAAATCAGGGAACAGAGGCGCCAGTGTGGACGTAGGTCTTCTCCTCAGGGAGCGCCTCGACGTGTCGGCAAGGAACAGTACGTGCCACCGCGATCACCAAAGGAAAACTGATAATACTTTTTATTTAATCGTAACTGTGGACTGAAGAGCAGTAGAAGACAAACTGGCCAGCTGTGATAAATAACAATATGGGAAAATGAACACTGAATTCAAGAGCACAGGGTTTGCAATGTGAGAGAGAGCTTGAAGGGGTCCCAATATTCATCTCAAAGTGATATCAATGCTGGAGGAATTGAATCAATATAAATATGATAAAGATTATAATTTTTGTAACTTTTTGTTTTTAATTTGCAGCGGGTTTCCTGCCTAACCTAGGTTCTCGCGTTATGAATTAGCTTATTGAAGAGGAGGAACAACACAAACATTAGCATGTTCCTCACATGTAAGAGGGGGCAAAAGAATATTTTTTTTTTGAAAAACATTTCTGTAAAAGTTATAAATTACTTTTAAAAATCTATTTAATGTATGGCTTGTAAGATGATGTGTATGCCATGAATGGCCTTGCATTATGAATCAGCCCCAAAACTGACATGCTTGGTCAGTATGAATGAGTGTAGCCACATACTTGTTATGTCATGATTTAGTCACTGATGATAACTGAATGTACTACTGTAGTATTTTGTGTTTTGGAAATGTAGTTTTTGACCTTCCTAATTTGGTCAACTTTTAAAACGATATGATTTTACTTTGGAGTATACAAACAGCAAGGTTAGTAAACAAGAAATAGTGAGCAAGGTTTTAATTTGTTCTAGTTTTTCCTCTAATTAGGGATTGGATTGTTTTATTTTTCCCCACTGCATTAGTATTTTCTCTGATCTTTATTACAGAATTATGCACATCTAGCTGGAAAGAGTGTGGTCCAATACTGATGCAGGGCTAATAAAGGAACAGTAAAAATTGTATTGTAAACAACTTTGTATCAGATTTAATGAACCTGGATTTTTAGCTCTTGAATATGCTGAATTTCTGTAGAAGTGAGACAGGTCTGAGTTTGCTCTAATATTTAGCCTGGTCTTTATAGAGTGACTTGCACTGATGTACTGAAAAATCTTTTTCTGCTGAAAGGCATGTCACACTATACTGGAAATTAGATTTTATTTAGCAGGAAGACTTTTTTTAATAAGTTTGATAACAAGATTTCCTCAGTTATTATTGCTAATGGTTGTGGAAATCAGTACATTTATTGAATATTGGAGAACACTTTAGCATAGTTTTATGTTAATTAAATTAACAGCATTGCATAACATGCAGTTTGGCTTACAAGCTGGTAACTGGAATAAATAAGAAAAGAAATAGGAAAATTATAAAATGCTAATCTGCCAAAATTTGCATGCTAGGGTACAAGATTCTGTATTAAAGTCCTAGGGAAAAGTATATTGCAGCAAGAAAGTGTACCAGTTTCTTTAGTTTAAAAGCAAGTATACAAATCTAAAGTCATTTAGTTGTGAACACTGGAAAACTCAGTTGCGAAATACCACCACACATTCTAGTTTGTGTATGCTAGTGATAACTTTAAAATGTCAGTGGCAGATAAATAATTAACTGTGAAAATGTTCATCTTCTGATTTTCTTAGCCAGAATAACCCTTGGCAATTTCTTACTCAGTAGGCATTCTCTATCAATGGCTTTGAAAACACTCATATCTATTTTTATAAGTATATATATATATATATATATATATAAAGTCAGATTTGTCATTTCTCTAACTTATTATTCAGCTTGGCAATCACTTTTTGATTTGATTGAAAAGTATATATGTACTTAAGCAGTCGGTATTCTTTTTCTACGCATGTTATTAATCATTACTAATTTTAAACTACTTCTGCTGGGTTTGGCAGTCTTTAAATTTACACAACTCATTGATCACGTCTGTTAACACACACAAACCCACTTTGATTTATTCATAATGCTATTTTTGATGGGCATAACCCACAAAAGGTGAAAATATTTAAACTGTTAAGAAATCTGCAAAATATATGGAAGACTACTTCAAAAATATTTTTTAAAAATCATAAATCTAATTACTGCACTTGGAATGGAAAAATGTTGAACCTGTTACAGTTCTACTTAGGGTAGACATGCACTGTCTCATTGCAAGCTAAATATATATTTGCATTCATAATTGCTGTTGGGAGTTTGGGAAAAACGTGATTGTTAAGTAAGAATGTAGTTCAATGGAAGGAGGCTAGTGAAAATACGTTTTTTTTTGGCAATGTGAGTGTGAATTCTTACCCTGTGTATATGTCCATGTTTGGGTGGAAATGTCTGTTTAAAGCAGATCAATTTAAAATGTAACTCTTTGCTTTATTGGATGTTGAAACAAGAATTGCTCACAAGTCTACAAAGTGTGAGGCAAAACATTAACTATTGGAGGGGGTAAATCCTGGATATGTGCACGAGTGTGCGTGCTATTCCCACAGTGGGTTATGGCTTTTGTGCAATGTATGTATACGTGTGTAAAAACAGCTTTTTCCAATGTAAAATTACTAGCCTAGAGATGCTCACTATAACTGAAGTATTTGATAACTTTCTCCTCAGTTAACATGGCATTCTCTTTATCCTCCTTCCCAGTCTGTTACAATAGCTATCTAAGATGGACTTCATTGATGCACAAATAGAAGTCAGCTTGAGTGATGAGACTTCCTTCTTTTTGGAGCCTTCTGTGCCCATCAAGCCTCTGTAGCAGATTTTGAGGGCCTGCAGGAATTGCAGGGAGCATGGAGAATCATCCCCCTTCCCATTCTGCTGGCAGAAGCTGTTTCATCAGCCGGATGCATTAATTAAATTCCACCCTAAACTTTCAGGTTTAGAAGGAATAATGAAACAAATACAACTGCTAGAAAGAAAGAGAACAATGTATGCAATTAACTTTTCCTGCAGTTACTATATGGCTAGAAACCCATCTGGGCTGTCTATTGCTCTTGCTCATTCTCAGGCAGTGTCTTGGATCTCCATCAGTCATTCTTCCCTTTTACTCTGGAAATGAGCGAAGAACATCTTGGGAACTAGATTCACTGTCAAAGCGATTCTGCTGTCTTATTGTAAGAATGTGTAATGTGGTATTGCTTGTTTTCTGCACAGCTTTGCATTGAAATGTTAATGGGCAAAACATTCTTGGGGCTCATGGAAAGTTGAGGCATTGAACAATTTTAAATCATTGTCATCTGTATACTAGAAAAGCATTGGATGAATGTAAAATTATAAACCAGTATAGCTTGTACTGGTAAATATAACCAAAATGAGCATTTTCATTGTAAATATTGGATCAGTAGAGATGAAGCTGATGTTGGTGTTTCATCCATAAAACATCCATGTCAAAACTGTGAACCAAGAGATGGTTACTCTTCTCATTAATGGGTCATCATTGGATTCATATGCCTCTTATTCTTATAACTTTTGGTATTTAAAAAAAAAGTACCCAAGATGATGAAGACCTCAAATATCCTTTCCATTTCCTGAATACTTGTTGGTTGAGGACTTTATGAGAGGGTTTATTAGCTGGAAATTTGAGTTTTCTTCCCTTCTAAGTTCTCTGTATTGGTGAATAACTCTGAGCCACATTATTGTACTTCTGCTCTGGAAGAGAAAAGCGGGGAGATGGTTTGCATGGAACTCGCATTCCAGCTTGCTTGTGCGCTCTCTCTCAGTCTCTTTTTAAAAAGTTAGCTTGGCAGACTGTGATACAGTTTTAGCAGTAGGTTAAAATAAACCTATCTTGATTGACCAGAAGAAAACTACAATGAAACTGGGGCAGATCAGTAGCAATTAAGTGACTTAAACAATGCTTTACTGTAGTTTAAAATAGCTATGGCCTTACTACTACATCAATATCAGCTAAATGTCTGACTATATCCACTCTTTTTACTGTTACCCCAGTGAATACCCACATGGGGAAAAATACCTGCTACATGTGTACAGATTATTTTAAATTTGTAAAATGCAGCATTGTATACAGACAAAATGCAACAGAAATGCACTTCGGGGTTGGGGGCGCTTAAAACTTTTGTAAATTGTTGATTACAACAAATATGCAATAGGTTTTTTCTTTTAACTTTTGATATTTCCTTCTGAGACATAAGATTGTTACCATTAATCCTTAATGGTCTATCATGCTCTTATTTGTTTCTGAGTGTGTGTGCGTGTGTGTGTGCGTGCGTGCGTGTGTGTGCGCACATGTGAGAATAGATATTACATAGTATGGGCTTCCTTTAGGATGGTGCAACTGATTTTTTTTCCTTTTTATTTCTTTGGATGACAGTTAGCTGGGTCTTCAACCCTGGAACCTGGAAGAGATCAGATTGTGTGTATTAATGTAGACTTAGGAGATGAATGGGAGCTAATCAGTTTTCAAATTAACCTGTAACAACTTCAACAATTTAATAGATTTTTTAAAAACTTCAGTTATGGATACAATTTCCCTCTCAAAGATATTTCAAATGTAAGTGGTTAGTGCACAAATGGCTTCTGTTTTAATAAGTCAGGCTACTCAGCTATGTCTCCTCCCAGAAAAGTTTGACTTATCTGATATTCATAGTCTTACTTTTCAAAGTGACAGGGCTTCAGGCAAAGAATATATATAGCAACTATCTGACTTCTTTACTTTGTCAGTTTGGTTTATTCCTGTTGTTAAAGCTGTCTAAAACAAAAATGTGTAAAGTAGGTTCATGCTTAATTGTTAAAATTATACATGTATTTGTATTTGTTTTTGACATTGCCAAGGTGCTACAGGAAATTGAAATAACAGTTAGAAGGAAATAATAAAAGCCACCTTAAAATGACACAAAAATTTGTCTAGATGCTAAATGACTTGATGTGTGCTGAATTCATGGCAAAGAAGACCTGTTTTAATCACCAGGTGATCAAAATAGGGGAACCTGGGTAGAAAGTGAACACTTCAGATTCATTGCTGATATTCCTTAATGTCACTGAGGCAAGTCAGTTCTTTGTTTCCCTTCTGGGACAGAAAACAAAGCATGTAGCTATATGGGCAATATAACTGTAAATGGAAGAACCAGACAGTTGTCTCAACCATTCTCTGAGTGGTTCTATTATTTTAACCATGTAATGTTAAGTATTTGTGTGCTTAATATGGAAAGCTCCAAATACTACTGAAACCAAGGCCCATATATTTATGCACCATGTGTTCTTTTGTTCCTGCTTCCTTTCAGTATGGTTGATCTTGCCTTTGAACAGTTGTGTGCTGCCCCGTAGGGCAGCGCCCCCTAGAGGTCAGCATTCCTCTGTTGGAATGGGCAAGGGTTTTATCTTGGTTGCTGTGGTTTATTATTGAGCAACAAAAATGGCTGAGCTAAGAAAAGGCTTGACTAGACTAGACAAGCCTAGCCTAGCCTCCTCACCCCCATTAATTGGGTCTGGGTCATGAGATAAGGGATGCAAATGTGGTTAGAGCAGCAGTTTCATATTTGGAGGAAGGAATCTTTAAAAAGTACTGGAAAAACAGAAGGGAGCAGTTGCCTGATTTCCAGAAGCAATATATGTCCTCCATTTGGAACTGAACAGCCCATAAACCTGGATAGAATAAGGAAGACTTGATCTGCAAGACTTGAGATTAGAGCAGCACAACACTTCTGTCTTACAGGATCTAAGTGACTAAAGGCATCCTTTTGCCCTAGAGACTAAGTTCCTTCCCACCCATCTCTACTGTCTAAGAGTAGAGGAAGGCAAAAGACATTGGGCAGGTTTACAAATCATGGTAATCCACCCTGACGACAAGCTGCAGTAGGTTGCTTGTTCCCCAACCAACCCACAGCATGTCAGATCAACTGCATTCTCTGGTGGTTCCCCTTTGGTCCTCTGGCTATCCCAGGGAGCAGTTTAAAAAAAAACACCTCAGTGTTGTCTGTCCCTCACTATGTTGATCGTGAGCCCTTTGTGCTACTGGGGATTTTTCCCCTCCCACCACTTCCAGTTGTTTTGGTAGATCACTTCTCTTTGATTTGACGGGCAGTGATAACTGCCTTCAAACTGCCTGAAGAGCACACTTGAAGGGACTATCACAAGTTAGTCACTGTTTTTAGCACAAGAAATTGGTGCATTTTTGTTGGTCCACAATGTGCAGCCTAAGTTACCTGAGAAACTTAGTGTTGAATTTAACTTCTCTGGGAAAAATCTGGTTACCTACAGCAGTGCCTTGATGCCATATTTCTGGACAGGTTACCATTTTGGGCCTTATTACAAAAGTATGAAAAAGGTCTGGAGCAAGACCTTATGGTCAGACGTGCTATTTTATAGTTTTAAGATTATGCAAAATAGCATTTGGTCCAATCTTATAATGATGTTTATTCTAGGGATACACAAAGGAATTTTGGAGTAAGTTTGGGTTGTAATTGCTCTTAAGTGCTAAAATACTTACAAAAGGGCTCAAGTTTCAACTGTTGGAAGTCACAGGTACCTTACCAGGTCTTAGGGGTACTCTATCCCCAACTCCCCATATGTTGCTTCTAAACACTCTTCATGTGCATGCATACAAATATCTATTCCAATTCTTTGTATTTCTTTATTGCATTTATATACCACCCCAATAGCCCAGAGGGCTCTCTGGGTGGTTTACAAACATTAAAACCCCAAATACAATATCCAATCCTAAACAAATAGATTGGCTACACCACTACTGAGTATAAAATAACATTATTTAAATGAATTAAATGAATAAATATACAATTAAAATTAATTAAAATATTGATTAAATAAGTCTTGACCTGGTGCTGAAAATCATATACTGACAGTGCCAGGCGGACCTCTCTAGGGAGTGCATTCCATAGTCGGGGCACCACTGCAGAGAAAGCTCTCCAAGTACTCTTGTCTCCTAACCTCTTTCAAAGAGGGTTCATGGAGGAGGGCCTCTGCTGCTGATCTTTGGGGGCGGGAGGGCATATAGGAAAAAAGGCATTCCTTTAGGTATCCTGGTCCCAAGCCGTTTAGGGCTTTAAAGCCGTTTAGGACTCCCAAGCAGTTTATTCTTCAAATAAACCTTTCTGCGATAGGCAAATTTTTGTACTCCATGCCATACAGTATAGGCCATGGTTCCTCAAACTATGGCCCGCAGACTGGATCTGGCCCTCCATGCCCATTTATCCAGCCCGCCTCAGAGGTTTTGGATTCCCTGTGCCTGCTCCCCCCGCCACCTGCCTCGCCACACAGGCACCCGCCTCACCGCATGTGCGGTGAGGTGGCGGCTTGCTCACTCAGAGATTGTTTTGGGCTCGCTCAGTGATCTCCGAGCGAGCAAGGTGCTGCCTTGCTGCGCATGCCCGCCACCGCCTCGCCCCGCCCACGCGTGCCCGCCACCGCCTCACTGGCCCATGCCCACCTCACTGGTCTGCGCCCACCACCACTGCCTTTCAACTGGCCCCCTGTTGAAAAGTTTGAGGATCCCTGCTAAAGGCCTACAGCATTACCTGCTGCTATAAGAGAAGCACATGCCTCAAAATTTCATATACTTGTATCACTGCATGTGGGCAGGATTTAGGATACATCTAATGCATTTGGTACCATCATATAGCACTTCAAGCACTAACAGCCTGTAGACCCTCTGTTAATAGGGCTTACTCCAAAGTGGAGATAAGCTTGTACTCTGTATAATTTCATTGTGCTCTCCAATCTCATTTTCCTTTATGTTTACAGGAAAACATTGAATTTGATCTTTCACTGTTCCATGCCTCATATAAGATCATTTTCTAATTATAAATGGTGTTGTAATATTGTATACAATCCTGGACTCCAATCAAGCAAGATGTACATAAACTCACCTATGCAGCCTTCTTCGTGCTCTACATCTTTTTCAAAACCTGTCTCATAGTGCACAGCCAAGTCTAACAATTTGTCTGCAGATATGCCAAATGAGATGAGTTACTTGCAGTCGTGCATATACGAGGTGTGTCCAGAAAGTAATGAGAATGAAGTCCGTACGCTCAAGAAGGGCTCTGTGAAGGGAGAAGCTGGCCAGGGTCACTTGGGGTGGGGTGCCAGGTATACATTAGAACACTACAGTTGCATTCCAGCCCTGTCAGAGCCGAGACATTCTCTTTTGTGACACCCTGTTCTGGTGCCTTGTATTAAGAAAAAGGCAAGCTAGTTTGGAACAGCAGTATGCAATAAAATTGTGTGAAATTGGGTTAACTTGTATCAGAAACTTTGGAAATGATCAGGAAAGCTTATGGAGAAGCTGCGCTATCATCTGCACAAGTGTACTGATGGCACAAGTTGAGATTGGCTCCACTTGGATCCTTCATCACGACAACACACTGAGTCACAGTGCTTTGGCTGTCAGAGAATTTTTGGCTGAAAATTACACAGTGCTTCCCCATCCATCCTGCAGCCCCAACTTTGTGCCTTGGTACTTTTTCATCTTCCCAAGATGAAGAATGGTATGAAAGGACACCATTTTGGTAGTGTGGATAACGTCCAAAGAGCAGGCTCTGAATGCTATCCACATGAAGACTTCCAGGGATGCTATGAAGAATGGAAAAATTGCTGGGAGTGTTGTGTACACTCACAAGGTGCATACTTTGAAGGAGACAATGTTCAATTGTAATGTTTTTCAATAAAAGAATTTTAAAAATACTCTCATTACTTTCTGGACACATCTTGTATACTAGCTTTGTTAACTGTGCATTGGTCCTAAGCTTACATCTGTTTGCTTTCATTTCCAGCACACCCATATTCTTTGCTGCTTCTCTTTTCATTGCTGGAAATTTAGATTGTACAAACCATGTTCTTGCCCTTCTATATGCAGTAAGCATGGCATGGTTGTAGCACTGTTACTGCTTGGTATCACTGCTACCCTTTACTCAAGAATGGGCATGCGATTAGCCCACCTACAGCAGAGGTGGGTAACCTGGGGCCTTCTAGAAGTCAGACTCTCAGTTCCCTTCATCACGAGTCAATGTACTCCAACAACAGCAATGTTATAGCTTTTCTACCCATGCCTTATGCTGTGGAGTAGCGGTGGTGTTCTTTCAGGCCCCAGAGGCATTATGGGAAATGGGCATGGCTTTGTAGACTGGCTCTTTACTTCATGTCAGGCTAGGAATTATAAATAATAAAACTTAAGCAAGGCATGGAACCAGATGGGTGCCAGGATGGGAATTTGCATGCACATAGGTGCCCATGGGATGCTCAAGTTACAAGGATTACAGTAATGCTTGAGGGCAGGCTACTTAAAAGATAGTATTCATGCAGGTGCCAGCATTTTACGATCTTCAGGGTTGGTTTCACTACTCTTGGAAGTGCATTTAGTTGGGACATGAAAGAAGGCCTTATTGGTGATTGATCCCATGTTCTGGAACATTGATGAAAGATTCTAGATTGGTTCTTTGTGGCAGGCCTTGTCGAGGAGAAGGCTAATTGCCTTGCCCCTTTCTCTTCTACTTGTATTTTAATGGATCTGTTTGCTTAAAGTTACGTTTCAATTAAGATTCGACCTGTATTGCTGTTGTTGTTATCTGTTGTTGCTGGCTGCCTTGGGCACATCTTGAGCAGAAATTCGATATAAATTTAATAAATAATGTTCCACAGGGTTCTTTTGGGGGAGGGCTGGGCGAAGCACTGCTCTGCTTTAGCGCAGGTGACGGGTTGTGGGCCCTTTGACAGCATACTGCAAATATGAAGCATGCTTAGCCTTCGCCGGCACAGGGGGCGGCGGAGGGGACCACCGGCTTCGCTTGGCCGCTGCCCAGGCTTGCCCTCACAGCGAGGCGCCGGAGACGGCCAGTGGAGGGCACCCGCCGCCCAGCCTCGGCGTCTCGAAGCGGAGGGCCCTGCCCG